GGGTATCAGATTTAGCAACTGCTTGTTTGCTGGGCCAGTCAGAGAGCTTTTCAGGGAACTGGACTCAGGAAAGTTTGGTTTCATAATAATTAATAATGCACGCTTAAAGCTGCACTGCTTAATAGGGCCGGGTGTCATTCAGAAGCTGCCGATACGATGCATACCTCGATACATAGGCCATAATACGATACATACAGTGCTGTTTCGATTCAATACAATATTTCAATTTGACTCGATACAGTTCAATAAAAAAATAAAGGCTAAATGATAGCTGTGATACTAAAAGACTTTAAACCACTTCTTGTGTAAAGTTCATATGAAATACAAATTTTAATGTTTAAAAAAGTGAAAATGTGTCACAAAAACGAGTTTCCTTCCTCTAAACAAGCAACAAAACTGTAGCGCTGTAACAAAATAATTTAGTAAAATATACCACAAAATTCTCTTGGTGATATATCAGTACAGCAACCCATGATATCAATACTGTATCATCACATTAAATGATACGATATATCAATATTTCAATATTTTTGCACACCACTGCTTAACATTTCTAGTGCAGGGTCCGCCACCTGATATCTCCATGGAAAAGTTATGTCTTTGTCTAGAATGTTCCACAGTATAGATTAAATCTATCTATCACAAGGAGAACAAGCAGGTTACAGCGCCACACTACATTACTATTCAGATCTGTGGAGAGTCGCCCTTCTTCACAGAAGGAATTACTGTATTTTTGAGCAATAGACACACTTGTAATGATCAATTCTAGATGGAAATGTTTAATGTCATACCATGAAACATTCCAAAGCAATAACATGTCCATGGAGACAAGCAGAAAAGTTGCACAGTACACCTTTAGGCCACCCAGTACACCACCCAAAATTTTGCATAGTGTTTTCTGATCAGTGGTGGGCCTGTCATGATAATTACAATATCAATTTGTCATTCAATATATGAAAACTGGAACATTATTTTTTGGGGGTCAATATTTATTGTTTGTATTTTTTCTTTGCACTACTTTTTACTTTATGTTTTTTTTGCATACACAATAAGATTTGAGCCATAAAAGGTTGAATTGATAACTTCTGTGACTACTTACAAATGCAAACTAAGTATTAAAGTGTCTCATTCTGCGATTTATTTATTGAAGCTCATGATTCTTTAACAATAATATAGATTAAGAATTTTTTTGTGGTTTAAATCTGACTGTGGGTTGTGTCAGTGGCATAAATGAGTTTCAGTAGTACAATTTATCATTTATATTAATTTTAGCAGCATATTACACTTTAAAATTTGTTACCGTGACAGGCCTAATCAATGGTACATTAAACATACATTGTGTCATGCTCCAGTTGACCTGCTCACCTCTCCTTTTCATCTCATGTGCACAGTGTCTTTCTCCAACCACAAGAACATTGGGTAATTGTACGTAATCAGCCTCCATTGTTTGCCTTAGCAGCCTGTCCGCCTATTATCAGGTTCAGAACAAACGAAAGGCGGTCCCTCTGAGCTCCGTGGTCACATTCAGGGCAGCGTTGTTCTGTTAGTTTCCTGTGGCGAAACAGGATGAGGAAGTGAGCTAGCTCCCTGGCCAGGCCCAAGGATTTGAGGTGAAGGTTGCGGAAGCCAAACTTTGAGAATAAGTTATACAGTACTTTGTTTGAGACAGTTTTATGACCCAAGTCCCTTCATCTATCTCTCTTTTCTTTTCTGCAGTTATTTGCAATTGTAAGTACATATGCTGGTCTATTGTCAGCTTGTTTGTGCCAGATACCCCATGCCCCAGTTGACTTCCTGTGCCCAAACAAAAGACAGCAAAAATAATCTAAATTTGAATGAATTGCAAGTGACAAATATGAAATATGATTTAGTTTAAAGGGCCTCTATTACTCTATATTCTCATCTATGTTGTAACCATACCAGGAGTTGTGTTTTGTTTCATTCACACAGGTCCTGCATATTTAGAGTTCTTCTCTCAAACAGAATAAAATCAGTTCCACCTTGTGATGCAGGAAGTGCTCCACTCTGTTTTTAAACTCCATACACCTTCACTTGAATCATTTGGATCATTTCAGCTCAAGAATTTCCAATCTTTGCTAAACAAAAAGTAAAATTTAGCTGTTAACTTACTGCTTCATGACATCACAAGGTGGAACAGAGCATGTTGAGCATGTAGACAAACTAATAATAAAGTGGTCCCCAAACGTGTGTGATTAAAACAAAACACAACTCCAGGTATGTTTTTGATGACTAAACAACACTATAACATGGCTTAAAGCTCACAAGTCATTTTAGCAAAATATAAGACCATGAAAACATCTATGCACTTTTTTGGTTTACTCTGCTCACCAGGTCCATATTATGTCACTGTAAAGTAGAGCTGACACACATTCATGTCAAACGGTGTGTGTGACAGGATAGCTTCCATCCCTGGTCGCCTATTGGGTCTGCAAGTCTTCGGTGGGGGCTCGGGGAGTGTGAAGCTGACCATGTGTTTAAACCTCTGATTTACATTTGAATGGCTTTACTGTCTTTTGAGTGGTTTGTCTTTAAACATGAGGATGGCAATTGCACACACACACACAGACTCCTTTGCACACGTAACCATGTCATTACAAACATGCAAAGCAAATTTAGTAGGGAAGTGTAGTTGTTTAGTTGATTAATCAGGGTCTTTTTTGAAATTGTATTAAGCGATTAATAATAATATTTAGATTCTAAGGTTTTATATGAGACACCAGTAGAAAGGAGTGAGTGAGGTAGCTGAACATGTGGGTTTTTTTTTGTATTTACATGTTAAAGGTTAGATTAAATTCATGATCACAGTGTTATCTAATCGTCTAGATAAATACACAAAGTCTTTGAGTGCAGTCTGGGTCAGATACATCGAGATACGTAATCGCTTTCAGAGGTTTTGTCACACCTCCTTTTGGTCAATTAAAGGATTTGCAGGACACGTCTTTAGAAAACCAAGAATTTCCAAAGAATAAACTCTTAATGGATTTTTCGGTTATTTTCAACGCAAAATAATAACACTTTCTTTATAATATACCATGTAGTCTCACTAGTTCTGATGAAGCTCATTCTTAAACTCTGAATAATCAATAATCAGTCAATACTACAGTAGTTTTAGTATTGATTAGTATCTGATTTTCAATACCCTGCCACATACACCAGTATACTACCAAATCTCGAGGTACACAAACATAAAAGCACCGCAATACACTTGTAAATGCAGTATTTGATGAAGCTGTTGGCTGTGATTGCTGGTCCCTGCAGCGGGAGAAGGGGGGCCCTGTCCTGGTCGTGTCACACCTTGTTGTTAGTGGGTTTTGTCTGCTGTCTAGGCTTGTTGTTGGTATGTAAATGCTTGTATGTAGACTCACCCTTGTAGTCTTTGACCTTTCTCGCCACGCCAACACTCTGTAATTATCGCCTTCCCTTTGTCAGTTAAACTACATTTTTTTTCATTCTTTCACTTACTTTCTTTTGGACATGTCGAATACTTAGCTGTCATTTGGGTCGTGAAGTGCATGAAGAATTAATTTGCAAAAACAGAGCGTCATTTGAAAAAGTCATTGGAGGCTTGCATGTACTGTTGGTGTAGTACTGTAATATTTCATAAAGCCAAATCTATTTTACTGCTATCAAAATCCAAAATTCCAATATCTTTCAAGTAAATAAAATACCAAAATTATTCCATACCTCCTAAAATCCACTATAGATTACATTACGTGGACCTATTTCTAACAAAGTGATACATTACAGCTAAATAATTGCATTTGAATTGCTGAACAGCATCACTTTCATCTTTGGTTTACCAGTCTTTTCCTATCCTTGTTCCCATATATTTCTTTACAAGTTTTTCTCAAGGTTGTGCTACTTTTATCCCCACTGTCATGCCTCTCATGCCGACATTGTAAAGCCAGTTATTTAGGACTTGGGGACTTGCTCCTGTCTGTTTTTCTACCCAAACAGCGGAGCATGGGAGGGGGCTGGTATGGTCAGCCATTTGGCATATGTCATCTAAAGGGCTTTGGCAGATACTTGAGGTTCATCCCCATGGTTCCTCCAGCAAACACGGCCTGGACATTAGTCACTGCACTTAGCGTTACGAGTCCAAAAGTCTCACCTCGTCTTTAAAGAGTTATGGAAGTGTTTGGCAGGAAGAAGTGTAGCGAAAACATTCAAAGCATCCAGATTGTGGGAAATAAAGCATGTAGCAACAATACCTTTATACATTCCAGCCATTTGGGCCTCGTCGATCAAGGAGCCACATCTGTAGTAGAGAAAGATTGATAGCGAATCAGTTGGCCTGATACATCATGCTGGATATTTAGACTTTTTACCATATTGGTTAACGGCCTTAAATCTCCAACACAGGCCCGGCCCATATTTTGTTTTGCTGTCTAAAAATGCACACAAAGCTTTATATTAACACTTTCATATGTTCCTGTATAGGTTTGTGGTAAGGCTGTGTGTGAGTTTGTCATACATATCGGCCCAAAAATATTGGCAGATCTTATCAGCCAGAATTTTCTCTGGATTCTAAATTGGCCCACATTGGTCGATCTCTAATCTGTAGTATTTACTGTAATGTAAATTGTGTAATATAAAACTATACAAAAGCATAGTTCTGTAAAGGTATTTGTTGTTTTATGTTGTTGATCTCTGTGTGAACATGGAAAGCCTCGGTGTGGGCTGTCTCCTAATGAGCTTAAACAGCCCTTACTTTCTGTGTGATGGAGTTAACACTGTTTGCACGAATGATGCTTTGAGCTGTGGCTTTGGAGGCATGTGAGAGAGGAGTGACTGAGTGTGACACACTGTAGCTAATGAGGGGTCACACGGTTCACTTTAAGATTCTGGCTCCATTTCAGTTGATTTATTTACTTTTTAATTTTAAATGAATTTTTGAATGCATTCCATACTTAAGAAACAATGTTTTTTGTACAATTTGTTTCATGCACTTAAATATGTATTCTTGTTTGTTTTTGCAGAGATTGAAGCCAAAGAGGCCTGTACGTGGCTTAGGGCTGCAGGGTTCCCACAGTACGCCCAACTTTATGAAGGTAAGATAATATGTCTTCAGCCTGTGCTCCCCTATGTCTCACCTCACACTGCAGCCATCACCTTGTAAAGCAAACTGTGTTTACAGTATAAGGAAGGCTCAGTGCTGGACAGCACTGCATGCTCACTGTCCAGTGGCATTAGGTTCTGATTATGTTTATGCAGTTCCTTTTGTAGCACAAACACCGGCGGGCAGCCCTTGCCTGCTCTACCACACGTAGCATGACATTCCTGAGGAGTGAAGGGCGTGTTATTTCACCGACTGAGAGACTTTGCTCTCCTTATGCACCAACCACAAACATTAACCTTTCTATAACGTGGCTGTAACCCACATAGAAGTGGGTCTGACTCAGTCTCTGTCAGACTTCTATAGGTCTGATTGGTGAATGACGAATGATGGTCAGAGGCATATTTTTTCTGACCCTTAGGTTTTAAACACACATGAACCACAATAGTTCAAACAGCCTTTACACTCCATATAGCAGCGTCTACATTATAGCATACTGCGGTCTATCCACTCACCCTTATGTAACTACAGGATGTTGACAGCAGCGCTAGGCTACCTTTGTCAACAGATTGCCTGTTGCCACTTAACCGTGAAGGGTCTCCTTTCTAAAAGGGGAGCCTATTGTACTCAGGCTCAGGTGTTGAGACACTTTTCAAAAACACAGGAACAGCAGTGGCACAGAAAACTCTCAAGTGGCAATCAATCAGACCTATTTTACAGCACAGTACCAGTCATTTCAAACTGTCTAAGCTCAGGGGGAATCCGTGTAGATAGACAACTATTTTTCACTCACTCACTTTTATCCAAGGAACCATCTCCATTGTTGCGTTGTTAAGACTATAGCCCCTTTAAAGATAAGCAAACTGATAGACCTGTTTCAGGACAGTAGGCTAAAGGTGCTAGCCTCCATACAGCAGCATGTTCTTATCATCATCATCATCTTTCCCTGGGGTTTTAAGATCACCATTATGTCAGGTCAGGTTGCATCTGTTCAGCCATTACATATGCCCAAAGAAATTGAAGTCAAATTCCTTGTGCGTGCTGTACTGTGAGCCTTTGTCTAAACTCTGACTTAGAGCACAAGTGTTTCTGTTAATGAAGTGGATTACAGAGAAAGAGCTAGAAGGACCATAGGAAGTGGAACTCTGCAGCGCTGGAGTACCTATTGTCATTCTTCAATCAGTCCCCTGCTTGTGCTGTGTGCTCCACATCCCCCCTGCCTGCCCACTCTGAAAGCTGCAGCTGTGTTTGTTTGCTCGGCTAAGACGCTACTTCCTCTTTTAGCTTTTCATGGGGACCATATGGGGGAGAAGGTGGGACGGAAGGGCCTGGTGGGCGTTTGAGTGGGTGGCGGGTCTGGGTTAGGTATTGGCACACATTGGTCATATCACTGTCAAACCTTCATTAAGATATCACCTTTAATATGTTGTTTAATGTCTTTTAGATGCCCAGTTTCCCATAGACATCTGCTCCGTCACCAGAGATCATGATTTTCTGGATCGTGATGCCATCGAAGCTCTCTGCAGGTGAACTACACGCCCCATTTGTACTCTACCCCTTTTGATGTCATGTACAATGCCTCCTAATCTCACACTTTCTATACTATCTCTTGTTTCCCCCTTAAATGCAGCCATCAGGGCATGACTTCAAAACCAGCCCTGCTTTGAAATGAGATAAAAGAATGCAGCGATAAGCACCTTGGAGCCATGAACCTTTTCACTTTTTTTAACCATGGGATAATTAAACGTTTCTTTTCAGTCATTATGAAGTGGTGTAATATTTTAAAGCCTCTTTAGGCTACATGTTAAAGCTAGATCATGCATTATAGATACTTTCTTCATTAGAACTACCTCAGATCTATTATATATTTTTAAATTAATTTTAATATTTTACAGAATAGAATCAGAAGTTTTTTTGTCACTTCAGTATAAAACGAAGAAATGAAACACTGTACTCAGGTCCAGGTTATCAACAGCGTGCAGTCTTTTACTGCAAGTACAAAAATGAAAATAAATAAAATGATAAAACAAAACTCCCATTCCCGACCTCTACACACAAGATAATATTAAAAAAAAGCACACAAAATTAACTGGACTAGACATCAATAGTCATTGAAGTCCAATCCCACCAAAATATTCCTAAATTTTTTTACTGTATGCCATTAAACCTATATACTTGTCATTTATTCTTTCATGTATTATTTAAATTCAAATAGTTTTCAAAAAAGATGTGCGTATTTTCTTTTGGAGTACAGTTACGAAAGCATTCTTGAAGCCGTCTGGTGCCCAAGTAACATTCATGATTTAGCATATGAGGGGGAGGCTAATGGTTATTTAATAGACTCAGTTCTTTTATCAAAGTCAGCTTTCAGGAGTTATAAACCACAGCAGGTGTCCCTCTATACATCTGAAAGCTATCATCTCGGTGTCCTGGCCCCCCTTGCCCCTCCTCTGTCTCGCCTGCCCCCCTTCACCCCAAACTCCTCATCCCCTCTCCACGCCATTGTTACTCGATCTCCCCTAAGAGCTCTCCAGAGGGAAGACCGGGCCTCACTCCTCTTGTCCAGGTGGCAAAGGGGATAAGACCCCCCTACACCCCTACGCCCCCTCCCATAGCCCCCTTCCGCTCCGTCCAGCACAATTCATTCTCTTGGAGCTTTTCCTGTTCTACTACTGTACTAGTCTTGTCATGATAATTACTATATCAGCTTCAATATATGAAAGATGTGTACATTTTCTTGGCACTACTGGGAAATGTTGGTTATTTTTTGGAAATACAATAAGATGTAAATGTGCATTGTGTAACTTTTCTCATGGAGGGTCCATCAAATGCTTTTCTCCATGGATACGTGATTGCTTTGTCTGGAAAGTTTCACACTATTGTATAAAACTTTCTATCTTAATGGAGACCAAACCGGACTAAGTTGCAGGTCAGATCTGTGGAGAGGCAATCCCACTCGCAGTCAGAATACCTGCCTGTTTTTCCAGGTATTTTTGAGCTATAAAACCATTTGTAATTTAATAAAAGTACGATAGAACTGTTTGATGAAGAAAAGAAGGTGATGGATCCTCCACCAGAAAAGTTACACAGTGTACTTTTAAATCTGCTTTTGGGTTGTTGTGTCAGTGGCATAAATTAGTATCTATAGTTACTTCAGCAATATCTTCATCTCTTCAGAATGTGTTATCATGACAGGCCTCTGCTCTACTCTACTCCACTGCCCTTCATGTGGGGATTATCCGTCACCAGCTCATTAGCTGTCCTGGATGCTCCCCCATCACTCTTTAAGTCTTCCTGTAGTTTTGTATTTCAACTTCTCACCCATGTTACTCCCCGCTGGTTACAAAAGAGGGGTTGAAAGTAGTGTTTTGTTGTTTAATGTTACTGATTTGGTGTTTGTTTGTTTTCTGTTTGAGAGAAGAACTCAGCCTAAATATGCAGGTTTGTGTGTTTGTGTCATGTGTGAATAAAATAACAAAACTTCAGCTTTGTTTGTGATGAGGAAACAACATTATAACATAGATCTTTAATGTTACTGATTTTGTGTTTGTTTGTTTGCAGACGCCTGAACACCTTGAACAAGTGTGCACTGATGAGACTGGAGATATCGCCTCAAAGAAAAAGAGTAAGCACACTTACTCTCTCTTTTTTTATTGGATCTTCTAAGTGCTAGAATGAGACAGGCCACAGGGTAAACATGAGGTTTTTGTTTCTTATTTAATGACAAAGCACCTGTTGGTGTTGGGTTTATTTCTCTCTGTCAGGACCCTAAGGGGAGGGAGGTGAGTTATAGAGGGCTCCGTGGACTAAGACTTCCTCCTAAACCTTCTTACATACACACGGTTTTGTACAAATGTTTAATAGAATTGTTTTAATGATGAGAATTAAGGGAAGTGCGCTCAAATTGAGCACTTACTTCTAACCACAGAATCATAACCACATCTGACAAGTCTGTTGTCATTGTTTAAACTTTTATCCCTTTCATTTTGCTTCCCTTTTTGCAACCAGTGTTTTTTAGAAATTACTCATCTCAAGATTCACCACCAGCTCGTCTCCATCTAAAATCTGGAACATTCCAGGCAAAGCAATAGCCCGCTCTATAAATACAAATTACACATTCTACCTTTTACATAACCTTAAATGCAAAGACATTTCAGTGTCTTCATTTGAAAGATCAACAGATAGCATTTGCTTCACAACACTATTGAGTTTTTCTTTGAAGGTTAGAAGCAGCTCTTTCTTAGAAAGAGTGAGTCTGATCCAAACTGACTCCAGTGTCTGGGACAAGAATTTCTCCTAATCACCTTCATTTGTGTAAAAGCCTCTAACTCTACATAGAAACATTCATGTTCAGTGTGTCAACATTCAACAGGGCGACCCACTCTGTGTCACCTCAAACCTGGAATCAGCAGAGAGTCAGAGGTTATGTGCCGTCTTTGTCAAATGTCAGTTCCCATAGACAGATAGGAATACATTGATCTTCTTGTCTTCACATTCCCTTTTCTCAAACATTCAACTCTTGATTCTTGTGCTTTAGTTTGCACAGTACAAATGAGGATTCATTTATAGATTCGTCAAATATTTGAAAATTTTGCCATAAAACCTAGAACAAGTAGCTGAAACATTTGGCAGAACTCAATGTTAGCCATAAAACAGGAACACACTGTTACTGAAATGTTTTTCACTTTAAAGACGGTCACAACAACCTGACAAACTAGAATCATAGGTTTCAAAATTGAGGGCTTTTATTTGTATCTCTTGTTTGAGTATAGCTGCTGCAGTGTAGAAGAGCCTAGTCTCAAAGTGCTGTCTGGATAAAGACGGTAGGTGGGGAGTGACCCCAGTCTGGCCGGCTGCCTTTTGAGCTATAGGGGTCATGATGGAATTTCCTGAAGTCCCCCCAGGGCCTGAGATACATTAACTGCACTGGGGGAGGAGTGTGCAGGGTGTTGGTGCTGGAGCATGGCTCAGTATATTGGCTGCTCTTGGTATCTGTCTTTGTGGCTTAGGAAGTCACACAGACTTGTTTACTAAGCAATGGTATCTTTGCTTCATCAGTCATAGATTTGACCACAAGATCTCCTTTAGGAAATACAGTTGTCTGTGAGTGAATCCCATGTGCACAGAGCGAAAGAGATCACAAGATCTGTGGTCTGTAAAATATATATTTTACATATATATATACAGTTAAAAACCTTAAATGTAAACTGACTTTCTTTCAGAGTGAAGACTCTGATGAAGATGAGCCCTGTGCCATCAGTGGTCGCTGGACCTTTCAGAGGGACAGTAAACGCTGGTCCCGGATGGATGAGCTGGATGTGTTCTCCTCTCTCCACACGGACGACGCCCTCCCCCCGTTTCCTAAAGACCAGGGTACACAGAAAGGCAAACTGCTCCTGCGAGAAGGCAACAGCTCCGAGTGTTCTGACCGACCTGAGTGAGCAGCCTGAGGTGGGCTCCATCCACAGCAGTGGCAGCGGATGCAGAGCAGAGGACAAGAGCCACCTCACCACCCTCACTGAGCCTGTGCCCACCGGGGCCACACGAGCCAGCTCTGTGGCCAGTATGTGCTCCTCCTCGGGCACAGGCTCAGGCTGTGCCAATGAGGACTCTCTGTCTGATGGCATGCCCCCGTCACCTCTGGAAACACTTGGACATTTTACCTTTGACGTGAAAACAGGCATGGCTGGTCGGGGAGGGAGTCTGGATAGAGGAAGCAATAAAAGCACTCGATCCAGAGCAAAGAGCTTTCTGAAGAGGATGGAGAGTCTGCGTCTGCGCAGTGGAAGCACCTCCAAGAGGAAGAAGAAGAGCAACCCCAGCGGTGCTAAGATCGAGATCAGTGGACCAGTCATCAAAGAGGGGCTGGATGACGACAAGCTCAGGAGACTCAACTGTGTCGACATCTCCAGTATTAACCTGAACCTCAACCACCACCGCAACCCCACACAAACAATGACCCTCAACCGAAACCGCACAGTGTCCTACTCCACTCAGACCAGTAATGGCAGCACTGGCAGCACCGGCAGCAGCCAATCAGAGGCCAGCAGGGAGCGCAGTGAGCACGCCCAGCCCTGTGACCCGTGCTCGCAGTCACAGTACTGCGGCTGGCACTGGTAAGAGAGGGGGCATGTATTTAGAGGGGTTTGATCCTTTCAGTGTGTATCAACAAGGTTCAGAACGACAGCCCACACCACCTCCCAAATCTGCTCCCCCCGTGCCCTGTCACACAAGCTCAAAAATGACTGTAGATGAGCAGAACCGCAGGAATAATTGTACCGTCCCTGATCACAGTCCCAGTGTGGAGGAGGAAGAGGAGGAGGAGGAGGAAGAGGATGGCATGATCTTCTTTTATCTACCAGAGGGGCACAAGCCTGGAACATTCCCCAAAGCCTTGCACGACAGCACCTCTCGTAACAATAACAACAAAAACGAAAATGGCAATTCTGTGATCCTCAGAGGTCGACAAAGCAGACGTCAGCGCCGAGGCTCCTCTGGATCTGTGGACAGCAGCCGGCTCAGCTTTTATGACAATGTCCCGTACACCGAGGACGCAGAGGAGGAGGACAAACTAGAGGAGCGCTTTGTTAACGCTTGGTCAGAGGCTGTGGCAGGTGAGGAGGACGAGGAGGAGGAAGATGAAGAGGAAGACTCAGACTCAGCCCTGGACTCGGCCTCTCCGTGTCCATCGTCCCCTCTGCAGAACCGCCTGGAGGAGACGGAGAACGGGAGTGACCAGGACAGCACTGGGAACCCACTGGGAGAAGGAGAAGAGGGGATGAGAGAGAGAAGGGACTCTGGAGTGGGAGCATCGCTGACACGGACCAGCAGGTGAGCAAATCAAACAGGTGTATGGTTGTATGTGGTTAAAGGTGCATTGTGTAACTTTTTTGGCTTTGTCTAGAATGTTTCACAGTATGGTATTAAACCTTTCTATCTTCTTGGAGACAAAACCAAATCAAGTTACAGGTCAGATCTGTGGAGAGACAACCCGCTCACTATCAGAATGCTTGATTTTTGAGCTATAAATCCACCTGTAATTGAATTACATTTATTCAATTACAGGTGGATGTTCACTATCATACTGTGGAACATGCGAGGCACATTTCCATAGAAACTAGCAGGTGACAGACACCCAACCACAAAGTTACAGAGTGCACCTTCAATATATGAGCTTAAAATGCATTGTTCTGAAAAGATGGAATTAGAATGGAATAATTTTTTTATATATATTTTTAGGTTTATGGCAGGTATTATTTTGTCACTTAATTGAGCTAATTTAATATTCTTTAAAAAAAAAAAAAATCTGATTTAGAGATAGAATCTTTGGCCATGAAGACTGCAGTAAAAGATAAAAAAGGTGAAAACATCTTATCAAACTAGTCTTGATAAATTTAGGCAGTGAAGTGATGAGAATTTGTCTCATTGTCGTTGCAAAGTATTTGTTTGTGGTGAAATTCCACGCATATTTAAACTCCAACTTTAAATCTTTTAAATCTTAACCCACAAAGGAGACAATGCCATTTTTGAAAAATAAACATCCTGTATCAAACCTGTCTTGATACATCCTGGCAAAGTGAAAGGAATTTGTCTCACTATTGTTGAAAAGTGTTTGTTTGTTGTGAAAATTCCTTGCATATTTAAATCACAGCTTCAAATCTTTTAAATCTAAACCCACACATGAGACAATGCCATGGTTTAGCAAACAAAGAGTATGTATAGAAAGTGACGGCGCAGGACACAGGGGCACGCTGAGACTCCTCTCCTTACGTAATGCTCCAGAAGGCTCTGGAATGCCTCTCTGTTTCCAAGGGGACTGTTGCTGTTGCTCCAAGAATCTGCGAGGGGAAAGTCTTTTATTTGAAAGGCATGCATTTTTTAGCCCCTGATTGGTGTGTACGCAAATCCATCTAATCCTCTAGTCTGATCACTGGTAAATAAAACTACAGGACAATGTGTGTGGCTGCATTTGCATCATGTTTGTCCATACACAAAGATATGACGCACACAGTGTAGCTTCTCTCACTTTTATTTTCCCCAAATGTTCACATCTCAATTTCCTTTGCCCTTCCAGACCCCAAAAGCTGCGTTGGCCCAGCTTCCAGAACTCCCATCGTCCCAGTGTGGCCTCGGCTCAGCTCCAGATCAGCTGCCAGTCTGTTCTTCAGATGAACCTGCTGCAGAAGCTCTCCCTGCTCCAGCTCACGGCCCTCCTGGAGAAGCACACCCCAACCAACAAACACGGATTTAGCTGGTGGGTACAAAGAATAAAAAGCATAAAAAGCACAGAAAATATTGTTAAAGGTCAGCAATAGTATTCTCAATTTATACACATACATTTGCAATAATTTCTAAAAAGCAGTTCATTCAAGTCCAACAACTCTTAGGCTACGTTCAGACTGCAGCCTGAAGTGACCCAAATTCGATTTTTTCGCCCCTATGCTCCTGTATCTGATCTTTTAATGACAGTCTGAATGACACAGATCCGATTTTTTTTCAAATGTGACCCAGATATGTGCTCCTAAAACCGAAACATATCCAATCTTTTGACATGCGACTTCAGTCTGAACAGTCAGGTCGCATTCATCCTACCCACATGTCAGACTCAGAGTCTAGTTAATGGAGAGAAAGCAAAGTTAGTGAGTTTATATATATTTGGGGAGATCGCTATATTCAGGCCAAATTGGAGGGGCCTCATCAGAATTGGTTGCCTGTGAGCGTGGACGTGTAACCTGTCCATTTTACAAGAACTGAGCCGTATTTTGGGAGACAAGCCCAGCGTTTAGGCGACTTCCGTAAACACTGAGCACTCTCGCTGTGTGTGACGTTGTCGTGTCCTCCAGTGCGCATGCGAGACACTTTTGGGGCGTTTAAAGTTCACACTGGAGATCACGAACAAGTCGCATTTAATTGGAAATGTGAAAGACCTTGCAAAAAATCTGATTTCACACAAAAATCCGTATTGAGCATTAAGCCCCGTGGTCTAAACGTAACCTTAAAGTTGTACTATGTTACTTTACTTTTTTGGTAGATGGTCATCTGATGGGCATCTCCTTTAACTTGGTATTCCTGTTCTTAGATATCCACCAGTGTTGTGACGGATATGGAAAATTTTGGATTTAGGCAGAAATTACAGTGGTCCTTGTATTTTCCATTGCTTTATATTGACAGACAATTTGGCTTTAGTGCACTGTTACTCAAAGTGTTCGTTGTAAATAACACCACTCGAGTTAATCCATGTGCCCAGCGATTAGCCCCCATCCCACTGTCTCGATCCCCTCCATCTGCAGGTTGTTGTGTGGCTCGCTGACGGCTGTCCGCAGAGGTTGGGTTTCACATTCTTTTCCCAGGCCCATAATTACTGGGAAGGGTCTATATTGTCTTTTTTTTTCTCTTCCAACCGGGCAATCCTGACCATTCACACGCACGGTGTTACTGGAGCTGGAGAAATCTGCCCTTGACAATTACTCTTCCAGCTACCTTTTACCCACTTAGATGCCCTTGTTTGTTCAGACTGGATCAATAGTGTTTCCTGACAAATATGAATGTCAAGGTTATTTGGTTAATATATAATTGTTATTATTCAAGTCAAAATATAACTGAATGAACTGAAACATAATAAAATAAGTCACAATGTTATTTAAATCAAAGGTGCTTTGCAATATTTCTGGTGTCGGGTCTGTCACCGCCTGTTTTTGTAGATAAATGTAAGGTACATACTGTATGTTTAATGCCATACTGTGGAACCTTCCAATGACATTTCCATCAAAACAAGAAGTTGGCTGACCCCCAACCTTAAAGTTACATAGTGAACCTTTAAATCAATTCAATGTGTAGCCAAAAAAAAAAATACACCAAAATGTAAATGTGTTTTATGTTTATGTCATTTGCCAAGGTGCACTTTGTAACTTTTCTGGTGGAGGGTTCACAAGGCAGTATAGTCTGCACTGAGATGTTACAGCTTTACAGCTCAATATGGCATTAAACCTTTGTATTTTGATTTTATTTTATTATTATTGCATTTTACTGTGAGTGGGGTCCAATCTCCAAAAATCTGACCTCTAACATGGTCTGGAGGTACCACCAACTTGGTTAAATTGAGATATGTATGTTTAGACCCCGTTTACACGTACACGAGTATTTTTAAAAACGGAGACATTTACCTTCGTATGTGCCCGTCTTTTACACGCAAACTGCGAATTCACTTTTGAAAATGAATCTTTCTAAAAACTCCGGCTAGAGTGGAGATTCTGGAGAACTACAGTTTCGCGTTTGCATGTAAAGTGAAGTTTTAGGCAGCCAATGCGCCAAAAGTGTGACCAGTGTTTACCTTTTGCTATGATGATGATGATCATGAAAGCAAATTAAATAAATGCCACAGCTTACAGGTGCCGTGCATAGGCTTGGCGTAGTTATGATGGCACTTGATGGCTTATTATTGTGGGTTGATGTAAACAAAAACTTTTTTTAAAACGATGCTATGATGTTATTTTGGAAAACGGAGGGTAGGAAATATACGATTCTCAACATACCCGGCTATGTGTAAATGTAGCCTTAATGCCATCCTGTGGAACAATCTAGGGCTAGGCAATGCATTAACATCTCCATGGAAACAAATAGGTGGCAGGCGGTCCCTTCATCAGAAAAGTTACATAGCACACCTTTAAAAGAACTGTCATCGATTTCACTGTTGTTTGGTATCAAAGTTGTAAGTGTAAAATCTTCAATAGTCTCTCAATAACAACTCATATTTGATAGTATGCCATCCCTACTCCCAAAAAAGTGAAAGCAAGATTGAAATTCCGTGCTGTTTTTACGCTGTACCCGAGGCCAGAGCTGGAACAGACCGGGTTATGACAGTCTTATGACAGGCCTGGACTCTCTCAAACACAGAGGCTGCTTGTTGCTTTGCTGAAGGCCCACACATATCCAACATTCCGGACTGTGATCATAATGTGCTCCTTTTTCATTTTTCCAAACTGCACCCCCGAGAAGCACTTTCCATTTACAAAGACGGACTTGTCCTAAGACACGCACAAGATCTCGTACTATTCACACCCAAGAACATAGCTACGAATGTGTGGGCGCCAGATCTGTTCGTGCTTCTGCTTTTTGGCTGGAGTTGTATTTTTGCCAGCCGCACACACTACAAATACTCAAGTGTGGATTGTACAAAGAGGTTGGGACCAGTCATTTTAAAGAGCTAGAATACACGCTTTACCCCCTAACCCTGTTTATCCGCCCCTCATAAAGTTGGAGACAGGCTTCTTCTTCAACCTGGCTTCCGGCTGACACACTCATAAAACACATAACTGGGTGTACCTCACAACATCCTTCAGCCCATATAGTTTAAAGGAACCATATTAGGCTATTTTTAATCTACAGTATGTTATAATGCTTTTTTCTCATGAGTTCACCAATCCCCAACAAATAATGATAAGGTTCAACATTTGTGCATCTTAAAACACTGTGCACTGTTTATGTTTACTGGTAGAGGGTTCCCATATGCTTGTCTTCATCAAGATGTTTCACAGTATGGCATTAAACGTATCTATCTCCATAAAGAATCCCAATTTACAGGTCATATTTGTGGAGAGGCAAGCCCACTTAAGGTTATAGTTCTGCGTCGACTCAACACACACTGTCGCCTTGTCGCCATCGTTTTTGATTTACGGATCTGCGTCAAGGTCCATGCGCCGCGAAGTAATTCACCGCCACAACGCTTTGAGGCTAGGATTTAAAAATAGCGTTCGTGTTTACAAAATGAAGCGGGAAAGCGGAGTACCAGAAATGTATGTAGAGCGGTATGTAGAAAGGACCAATCACAGCCTTTATTGTCTGCATCGCTTTCCTTGATGTCTGTTTCTTTTCAACGCGTAGTTAGAAAATTTCAGAGGTGACGATTTGACGCACGGCCATAAATTGGGTTTTACAGTACAAATGTATGCTTTTCAAGGTTTTCTGAGTAATAAAAACACCTGTAACTGAAGCAATGCAGGAGACTGATGACTTTAAGACCACAGTGTGAAGCAAATAAATGGTGACCCTGATTTCTTCCAAAAACAGCAAAACCTTCGTAGAGTTATATAGCCCCCTGCCCACCACCTGAGATCACCATCAAATTCTAAAACCTATTGTTCTTTTAAACCTAACACTTACATTGTTATTGATGTACTCTTGTCTTGTTTTTTTAAATCAGGGCTGTGCCAAAGTTCATGAAGAGAATCAAGGTGCGCGACTACAAAGACAGGAATGTGTTCGGTGTGCCATTACAAGTTATTGTACAGCGGACAGGACAGCCCCTCCCTCAAGGAATCCAGCAGGCCATGCGCTACCTACGCAACCACTGCCTTGACCAGGTAATTCAACCATCAACCGTTTAAAAGTCACACAAATTACACATAATTGACTCTTGTGAGCTTTAAGCCATGTTAGGATGTTGTTACCTTCTCAAAAACTGAACTGGAGTTGTGTTTTGTTTCATTCACATGTTTGAGTAATCCCTTTTTATTCATCTGTTTATGTCTCCAAAGCTAAAAATGGTCTGTTCTGTGGTAGTTTTCAGGTTGACAGCTACCTTTTACCTTTAGTTTAGACTGTTTTCTGTTTGAAAATATGCAGGGGTTTGTGTCTTAAGCATGAAACAAAACACAACTCCGGGTATGTTTTTAAAATAGCGTACTATGGGCCCTTTAAATGAGTAAGAGAGATTTATGTGTACTTTGGCATTTGACTGTGGAAATCTGTGCCCATTTGCCTGTCATTCAGTGCTGTTTAAAGATAATAAAAAGATCCTCCTCCTATAAGTTGCTGGAAGTTGCGTAAGAAGTTAATGTATTTTTTACTTACATAAGAAATGGAAAAATGTGATACAATCTGAGTGTGTTCCTGGGACAGTCCGTACTTGTCTCTTGCAGTAGTTTTCTTCCTAGTTTTATTCAAGTTGACAGGCCTGGAAAATGTAACTAAAAACCAGTGTCTGCCTAATATGTTGCAGTAGTTTGAGGTCCTACATTATGCAAAATAGATTCTTGTGAGTTTTAAGCCGTGTTATAATATAATGTTATAATGTTTTGTTTAATTTACACGTTTGATTGATTTAATTTTCCGTTTGAGAGATAAATATGCAAAGTTTGTGTGTTAAACATGTGTGAATGAAACAAAACACAACTTCAAGTAAGTTTTGGATGAGAAAACATTAGAACATACAGTAGATCAGAAAATATCATAATATAGACTCTTTAATGTAAGATTTTGATGCGTAGGCGAATTTTTAAATCCATTTTGTCCTCTGTCCAGGTGGGTCTCTTCCGAAAATCTGGGGTGAAATCTCGCATCCAGGCTTTGCGGCAGATGAACGAGGCCAGTGGAGCAGATGGGGGCGGAGTCAACTACGAGGGCCAGTCTGCGTACGATGTGGCTGATATGCTCAAACAGTACTTCAGAGACCTGCCAGAGCCTCTGCTCACGAGCAAACTCTCTGAGACCTTCCTCCAGATCTATCAGTGTAAGAAAACCAAATCAATTTACACTTTTAAACATAATGAAAATGTATATTTATACTAGAGTTCATATTCCTTCTTTCCATTTTTAGTACTTTTGACCATTCAAATTACATAATATTTTGTTAATTGTTAATTGCTATGGTAAAAGTGCTAATTTCTTATCACTCTAAAACTGAAATATCTGAAATATTGTGATATTGTATCTTCAGAAGTCTCAAAATAATATCGGGAGATTTCACAATATGTGGAATTACAAGTTCCTTCACTTAAATGCATGGTTTTATAGTAGCAATAGTTAATACATATAGGGAACTACATATCCCATGATTAATTTCATTGTATACAACATGAAGTAATATGTTTATTGCTTTAATTCTTGGGATTATGACAGTAATTATTCACACCAAGGTATTTTAAAAGCCTCTCCAAAATATTGTAATAAATATCATACCGTGAACTGAATATTGTGATAATATTGTATCATGAGATTTGAATATTGTTAAATCCCTAATTATTGATATTAAAATGAAGTGTTTTTTCACCATAGAACTGTGACTGACATGTTATTGCCTGCCACTCCTACATTGATGTTTAATTGTCGGAGTGGCGGCATTTCCAATTTTTATCAAACGTCCCTGCACTCCAACATTTTTGTTTTTCCTTGGTTGGAGTGGTGGCACTTTAGCTTTTTCTTCAAAATTCCACTACTCCAACACACAATAATTATTAAGTTGCAGCGGAGCTCTTTTTGGGATTTTCATGGACTGATTTAGACCTGGTTTAGTCCTGGTTTAGACCTGGTTTTAATCCTGGTTTTAGTTCTGGTTTAGAGGCATGGCCCACGTAGTGTATGCAAGAAGACACGGTCCACGTGGCGTATACAAGGCAAAAAATGTGATGCTCAAAACTATGAGTAGGTTGTCAGAATGGCGACATAAATGGTGTCGGATTGGGGGTATGTTGGAATGGGGGGTTGTCGGAATGACGGAATGTCGGAGTGGCGGTATGTCGGAATAAGGGTTGTACTTCCATAACTAGATGTTTGTCAGTACTGTCCTATCTAGGTTTCAGCTTTGTGTTTTTGAGTGCCATTTTGAGTACTTTTGATCATTAAAATTATATAATATTTTGTTGATTGTTACTTGCCATGGCAGCAGTGCTAAAACACATGGATTTATTATTTCTTTTCCCATAGAACTCTTATTGACATACCTGCCATCATAACTCACAACAGTGTTTATACAAGATTTAACCCAAAAGCCTTTTATATGAAGCATAGCCTGCAGTGTTGTCGTGTGTGTACCGTTACATAACAGAATCGCATCATTGGTAAAGTCAAACACTGGAGACAAAGCAGATATCTTCAAGTAGGCTGTTCTCGTTGTTTATAACTTTCTAATAATAATATTTTTATAACATTTTCCATCTGTCCCACAGACATGCCCAAGGAGCTCCGTCTTCAGGCTGCACGTGCCGCTGTCCTGCTTTTACCTGACGAAAACAGGGAGGCGCTGCGGAGTTTGCTGTGTTTCCTTAGTGACGTGACCGCAAATGTAACGGAAAATCAGATGACCCCCACAAACTTAGCCGTGTGCCTGGCCCCGTCCCTGTTCCACCTCAACACGCTACGACGCAAAGAGAGCTCCTCGCCACGGTGAGTGTCCGAATAGTCACAATAATCAACTTATCGTTCAATATATGTTAGATGGAACAATATTTTTTGCTGTTCTCAAGATTTATCATGTGAATAATTTCTTTACTGGTACATTATTGATTATTTTTTGGCTTTGTTATAAGATTTGAACTTCTATGACTCCATTTTATGAATTTCCAGCTCCTGTTTTTGAAATATTTTGTAGAATTAGAATAGTTTTTGTGTCTTAAAGGTGCACTGTGTAACATTCTCCACCTGCTTCACTCCACGTTATTTTTTTTTTTACCTGAAATGTTCTACAGTATGGCATTTAATTTAACTATCTCCAGGCCACATCACTAAGCCAAACTACAGGTCAGATCTTTGGAGAAACAATGCATGTTTTTGCTGTAGTTTCAAGAAATAAAAACACTTGTAATTTAATAAATACAAGATTAATTTGTTTAATGCCATACTGTGGAACATCCCAGGAATAACATCACTATGGAGACCAGAAGAAAAGTTGCGCAGTGCACCTTTAAATCTGCTGGTGGGTTATTGTGTCAGTTCCATAAATTAGTTTCAATGTTAGACTTAGAATTAGACAAACTTTATCGATCCACAAGAGGAATTATTTGGACAACAGTAGCTCACACATCACAATAACAAACAGAAAACATATAAATGGTAATAATAAATTCTAAATAAATTGCAAAAATATCATAAGACTGGTGTCAAATAAGGCATAATTATGTAACTGTATATGTACAAGTAAAAATTAAATACAATAGAATTAAGTAATAAAAATATCTCAGCTGTACAAGAGGTCGTAAGTAAGTTCATCGTCTATATTTCCTTCAGCATTATATCACACTTCAAAATGTGTTATTGTGACAGGCATACACCTGAATCCAACTTGTAAAAGAATAAAAAGGGATGTGGAGGGAGTACCTTATGTAATACGCAATATGTTTTATGTTCAATCTCATAAAAACAGGAAAACAGCACTAAGAAAACAAAAGGACAGGATATTGTAGATAGAGGAGGGAAAGGGAAGAGCAGGGAGGATGAGAAACAGATAGCCCAAATGTAAAGGTTACATAAACATGTCCATATTGTTGATACCACATTCACATGAAATTAATGTGGCTTTGTTTTCATTGTATAAAAGTAAGATTTTGATTTTATTTTTATTTAAACTTTATTTAACCACAGGAAAGTCCCAGTTTTTGGAGGGAATCCTTTCTAAATCAAGAATACAGGAGCATACATTTAGACAAATACATGAATTTCTTAGCTAAAAACTTTTTAGAACTAATAATGTTAAAACAAATTAAGATATAAGACTAGGGTGACCCGATTTTCAAAATAAAAATCTGGGACATCCCTGATTTGAGTTGGTAATAATAAAATTGTAAAGTGAGTGTGTAATTAAGGAAAATTGTTATGTCTGTATAGTCACATTTTCTTTGGTTTTGGTCATTTTAAAGCAGCTTTTCTGTATTTTACCTAAATAAATGACAATGTATGCCTCTCTGTACTGTTGGCAGGTTTCAGATTGGTCAAAAATAGGAACGCTTGGAGCATTTCTTGTATAAAACTGGTACAAATCAATGGTTTTGGATAAATCTGCTCGGACAGGGGACACGGGGCTCAAACCTGGGACTGTCCCGGAGAAATAGGGACGTCTGGTCACCCTAGACTGGAAACATACAATACACTGCATAGGACAACTCACATAATGGATTAAGATCACAGTCTTGTGGGGTGTTTTGCATGTATGTATATGGCAGAATGTTCAATTTCATGGTGACACAGTGCACACATTAACAAATACAGCCAAAAAAGCTCAAGAAAAAATACAAAATGGATTCAAACAACACATTTTCAGAAGCCTGTGATCAATATGAGCGTTCATGGTGCTGTCGAGGTGTTTTCAACAACAATTTTCTACAAAAAAATTAGCGTGACTAACTGAAAAACTGTCTGCTAATGCTAAGTAACTTGTGACTGTAATGTTATTTGAGAGAGACTTATTTGTTTATCAGCACCAGACAGATCAGAGCCTCCAGTTAGTATCACATCCCTAGGGAACGTTCATCAAATCAGCTGTAAAGTATAGGATGACCAGACGGACAGTCCCACTTTTGAACCCTATGTCCCCTGTGCCAGCAGATTTATCCAAAACCAGTCCCAGTTTGTCCCAGTTTTATATAAGAATTGTCCCAGGTATCCCTATTTTTGATCATTTGATCCCTGCCAACAGTAAGGAGAGGCATAACTTGTCATTTGTTTAGGTAAAATACAAAAAAATCTGTTTAAAACAACCAAAACACAAAGAAAATGTGACTATACTGACTCATATGTATGTCTTTGCATAACAATTTTCCTTAATTACGGACTAATTTCACAATTTTATTATTACCAACCACCAAACTTTTTTTTTTTACCAGTTTTTTATTTTGAAATTCTTCTCACCCTGGTAAAGTATCAATTAGCTGTTTTATTCCATTTCTGTGTCACACTTAATAAAGGTTTGTACTAGTTTTTTTTTTTCCTTTTGTGATTGAAGGGTGATGAACAGGAAGCAGAATCTGGGGAAACCGGACCAGAGGGACCTGAATGAGAACCTGGCTGCCACTCACGGCCTGACCCACATGATCCAAGAGTGCAGGAAGCTGTTTCGGGTCAGTCCTTAGCAACTGTACACACAAAAATAAGACAGTTTCAACGGATACATTACTGTTCTAATTAAAATGTGTCTCCTGTACCTGGTCATGATGTTCTTGTTGACTAAAACGTTGACCTTGGTCTTGTACCTTGCTATTGTTATACATTGTGGGTCTGTGTTTGCCATGTAAATACACTCAGTTATATAACATGCAGGTAACACAATGATACAGACATTTGTTTGGTTTGTCCTGACCTCACATAACAAGCCAGGACTTAACTTTGTGTACACTTCAAATTTGCTCGGGCATGTTTTGTAAAAGACTCGTTTATATAATTATACATTCCTTATTTAAAATGAGGAGCTTTAAGCCATGTTAGGATGTTGTTACCTCCTCAAAAACATACTTGGGGGTTGTGTTTTGTTTCATTCACACTTGTTTGAGGAATTATTATTAGTCTGCCTACATCTGCAAAGCTCAAAATGCCCTGTTCCACCTTGTGATGTCACATAGTGGTAGTTTTCAATCAAACAGCTACCCTTTACCTTTAATTCAGTAGACATGGGCAATTCTTGGGCTGAAATCATCCAAATACAGAGTTTAAAGACACAGTGGGGCACTTCCTGTATTACCACATGACATCACAAGGTGGAATAGAGTGTTTATAGTTTGAGAGAAGAACACCACAGCTTAAATATGCTGGGTTAAACTAGTGTGAATGAAACAAAACACGACTCCAGGTAAGTTTTTTGATGAGGAAACAACAGAGATCAGAAAATAAGCCCAGTTGGTGACAATAACAGGAAATAATCAAATTCCTTCTGTATTACAAATCTAATTTTATCTCAGTTTCATCCTTGTAATTTTGAGTCTGTTGAGCTTTCTGTGGCATTTTACAGCCAATGAAGACTGTGTTGTTTTGTTGCTTGATTTGATTATGAGCCAGTTTCCGGCCATGGTCCTATCACACGGGCATTAAATTGAATTAACCACTGCCTAATGTCCTTAAAATTAGATTTGTATTTGCATGCAGGATCATATAAGGATGACAGCTTATTAAAGCTGGTTTTAATGAGCTTCCATAACTCCTTATCATGGCAGATAATTATCCTTACTGGGTAATGACGTTTGTATATTAGTCTGGAACAAGGCAGGATTTGAGTCATAAATTAAGCTTTTGCAAATTCACTTCTGTAACAAAGTAAAAGTAGTGTACTGTAAGTACTGTAAATAAGCATACATTTTAGATATCTGTACTTTATTTAAGTAGATTTTAAAGTGGATTCTATTTACTTTTACTTTACTTCATTTGAGAGCAGGTATTTGTACTTTCTACACCACTTTTTTTTTTTAAAACTGGACTGAAAATTAAAAGTATTTTTCACTACTATCTGAGAGCTGTTGAAAAGGCTGAGTGTTTATTTTTAACACATTTGTACTTTGAGCAAACTTAAATATGCAAATAAAAACGATGAGGTTGCTTATACTGAAGCTCTGGACCTCCTCAAAATACACATACTTCTGCTATCTGTACTTTTACTTAAGTAATAAGTTTGAGTATTTCTTCCACCACCTGTCACATGACATTTATAAAGGATATTTCTGAAATTACGTGATTATATTGGCATTCCTGAAAAATTCAAAATAATAATGTCTGAACTGTTCTTTTGCCATAATCAGATCCCAGAGGAAATGAGCCGCTGCAGGAACTCATATGTGGAGCAGGCCCTGTTGCCACGGCGACTGGAGGAGCTGACGGGTGAGGAGGCGGGGCCAGAGGGGGGCTACAGGGCCTTTCTACGGGACGGCCTGGACACGCTGCTCAAAGAGGCCAAAGACAAATTCAGAGGCTACGACAGCTGCTCCACCTCTGAGCACGCGGAGCTCGCCTACAGAAAGGTAATTTAAAGGGCCCACACTGCTCTGTTTTCTATCTGTGTTATAATATTTCCTCATCACAAACATACCTGGAGTTGTGTTTTGTCTCATTCACACATTTAACACACAAACCCTGTATATTTAGGCTGAGTTCTTCTCTCAAACAGAAAACACCCTGTTCAACCTTGTGATGTCATGTGGTAGTACACGAAATGCCCTACTATGTTTTCAAACTCCATACACCTTCATTAGAATCATTTGGATGATTTCAGCCCTGAAATTTCCCATCTCGACCGACCTGAATGTAAAAGGAGCTGTAACTTGAAAACCAACACTACCTGACACCACAGTATGGATCATTACAAGATGGAACGGAGCTTTTTGAGCTTTTGTATGTAGACAAAAATTTTAAAAAAGGGCTACTCAAACGTGTGTGAATGAAATAAAACACAACTCCAGGTATGTTTTTGATCAGGTAAAAGCATTATAACATGGCTTAAACTTAACATGAGTCAATTTTGTGTAACATAGGACCTTTAATGTAGGCCATCTATAGAGAAAACTCCATGTGTGCTCCCATTGATGAAGACAGACTGTCCCTTCATTTATCCATTTCCTGTATTTTATCTCTGCTCTTCTGTTGTTATCATGTGGAAAAGCAGTTTCCGAATTACATGTGAAAAAGACTCAGCTCTTAGCTTATTTTTCCCACTGTTAAACTGGACACTGCCCCAATATGACATCATTTACTCTCCCAAGCTGACATTTCCTGTGTGTTGTAATACTTTCGCGGATTTTTTTCCCCCATCTAATTTATGTAATTTATCAGATCTAAATGAAAGAGCAAATGTTTTAAAATCTTAGGTTGCATGAAATTATAACTGGATTAAACATGACTAATGAGATTTCATTTTACTCTGCAAGTAAGAAGTAGATTTATTTATAGAGCGTCTTTCAAAGAGATCAGATCACAGCGTGCTTTAGAGATTAAAATCTCCATACTAATAAAAAAGATTAAATGCAGAAAACACAGGTATTTACTAAAAAAATTAAATACCGTGGCGTTTTGTCTAAAAGCGATGGCACCATTTTTCAATCTACTTGTACATATAATGATTATCCCTTATTTGACACATCTCTTGCTATTTCTGCTGCTTATTTAGAATTTATTTATATTTTTACTTATTGTTATTATATTATATTGTGATGTGTGAGCTTCTGTGTCCAAACAATTTCGCGTGTGGGTTAATAAAGTTTGTCTAAGCCTAAGACTAAAGTTTAATATAAATAATGTTCTTTCAGGTCCATGATGGTTTTCCGCTGCGTCTATGGAAGGTGACAGTGGAAATTCCTGCTGCCCCTGAAGAAGTTTTGACTCGGATACTGAGGGAGCAGAGCCACTGGGATGAGGACCTGCTGGAGAGCCGTGTAGTGGAGACTCTGGATGAAAAGATAGAAGTTTATCAATTCGTCCGCAACACCATGGCCCCACATCCCACCAAAGACCATGTGGTTATCAGGTAAACATTATTAAAGGGCTCATATTACACAGTTTTCTGTTTCATTCACACATGTTAAACACACAAACCCTGCACATTTTAGCTGAGTTCTTTTAGTTTATTTTGACTAATTAGAGTCTAAGAGATGAAGAAGCAGCTTGGTTGAGCTGCAAAACGTGTTCGCCCAAAATAAACTTTTGTCCAGGTGACAAATTGAGTTTCTCCTTTTGCCATGGATTCTCCCTGGACGACTGAGGGATTTTACGCTCCAAACACCTTCACTAGATTTGTTTGGATAATTTCAGCCAACCAACCAATTTCCAATCTATGTTAATAAACGAAGGAAAAAACAGATAGCTTGAAAACTACTGCTTTATGACATCACAAGGTGGAACAGAGCATTTTGAGCTATGGAAATGTAGACAGACTAATAATAAAGGATTACTCAACATTTACTCATGTGAATGAAACTAAACACAACTCCAGGGCTATTTTTGATGAGGTTACAACATTCAAACAAAGCTTAAATCCCACAAAAGTCAATTTTACATAATAGGACATTCAAAGTATTTATTTTTCTTCTATTCAAGACTACAATGTCAACACATGAGCTAAAAACATGCTTTGTCCAACAGGACCTGGGCTACAGATCTAGCTAAAGGAGCGTGTGCACTTGTGAGTTCCTCAGTGGACCATGAAGGACTGCCTGTGGTCGGCGTGCGCGTCAATGTTCTTACATCACGTTACTTCATCGAGCCGTGTGGGAGCAACAAATCTCGACTTACACATCTGTCCAGGATCGACTGCAGGTACGTTATGCAGAGGTTATGATTCCCTGATTTTATGTACATCTTTAATTTTGTAACTCTGCTAGTCTCTGTGCTTTTTAATTGCCCTTCGGGATAAATAAAGTGACTGAATTGAGCTGAAGAGACACACGCACAAATAATATGAATTAATTGTGAGGGTCCTTCAAATGCTTTTCTGCGTGGAGATGTTATTGCTTTGACTGTTTCACAGTATGGCATTAAACCTTTCTATAATCATGGAGACCAAACCAGAACAAGTTACAGGTCAGATCTGTGGAGAGGCGACCCTGCTCACAGTCAGAATGTCTGTTTTTCTATGTATTTTTGAGCAATAACCACCTGTAATTGAATAAATGTAAGGTAGACCTGTTTAATGTCATACTGTGGAACTTTCCAGACAGAGCAATGACGTCTCCATAGAAACAAGCAGGTGACGAAGCCCCAACTAAAGAAAATTACAAAGTGCTCCTTTAAAATCTAAGAAATGGGTTTTGTATTATGCAATTTTTAGTTGTATAAATACTTGTCTCATGACTTGTCTCAGGACCATAACTAATTGTGGCCATGACAGTCAAGATTTTTTTCTAATTTAATGCGGTTTTCTGTTGGCTCTTTAAACTGTCTATGGTTGGCTCACTGTAACTAACTGTCTGTTTGCTGTGTGTTGTAGGGGCCGTTTTCCTGAGTGGTACAATAAACTGTATGGACACTTGTGTGCTGCTGAGGTGGCTCGGATACGTGACTCTTTTACTGTGCCAATGGACAAATAAAGCCTGGCCAGGACTACAGACGATTGGAAAACTCCACTCACTTTGAATCCAACAGGGCACTAGACATGATTCATTCCAGCGGCGCTTTTGTGTTCTTACGCTTTAAGGACAAACCTGGATCTCATTTGAAGGACTGTGTGACTCTGATACAGTGTCACAGGAGACTTATCTGTAAAGTGTCCCATTCTGATGTCCAGCCACACCGACCGTCATGCCAACTTTTATCTGGGCCAAAGGACATGTACGAGAGGATACAAGGCTCAAATCTTATCAAAAGGGTGCTACTGCTTCTGAGAAGCAACAGGATTAGGCAGTGTACAGTGTCTGTGTATATGTGAGCGAGTGGTTAATGAATATTCTATGTACATACAGTGTTGTGCCATGTGTTGTCTGTCACATATTACCTCTGTCCCTTTTTCTGTTACAGCAAAGCACACACCAATATTTGAGCAGTACATACAAATATATATCTGAGAGTGAAGAGTGGTGAATGTGGATGAAGGTTAGACTGGATCCAGAGAGAGGACTTTTATGATGGCAGAGTTTAGAGAAGATGGTGCTGGATCACCTATCAGTGCACCTGATTTACTCACATAAAAATACATTTTAATTTATTAGCACAAAGATCTTCAAGAAACATGACTTGAGTTGTTTTCCTTATGTTTAGTAAAAGACCAGTCGTTCTAAATGGGCCAAATTTGAATAGACACCAAAGTGAGTTATTCAACGCTGATAAAATAAACACGTGTAAATACAACAGAAAGCTCTGGTGAGGCGAGGGGTTTAAGAAAAAGTGGTCCTTTTATAAAGGTGGAGAGTCTACAGGTTTTACTGTAGTGAAGGGGCAGATTGAATGTGTGCATGAATATGTAGAAGGTAATATTTTTAGGTAAACGTCTGTTAAAAAAAACAAAAACAAAAAAACAACATAACAAAGCTGATGTTTGCTATAACACTCATTATGTTGTATTCTTCATGTGGACTTGTATAGTTAACACACTAAGCCATTGTTCATATGATACTATAACCTGCTACTTATGCAACTGTGTTTTATTTCATTTTTGACCAAATAACACATGACAATGACAGTTAATTTAAAAGAAATATTTATACCTCAGTTATACAGTACCATTTGTGTTGTGTCAAACCATCTATGTTATTTTATTGTAAATGTTAAACAAATGTTTTATCTTTTTTATTAATATTATTTCTGTACAGGTTAATCAAAGTGCACTATTAAACGTATCAAAGTGAAAATGTGTTTTCTTGTGTTTCCTTGGATTATGTAACGCAAAGTGAACCCTGTCAGACATACATACACCTGTTAGGGCATGGAGTATATAAAAGTGTTTGATTCACATGTTTGAGTAATCCATTATTATTAGTCTGTCTACATTACCAATTCTTAAAACACTCTGTTCCACCTTGTGATGTCATGAAGCGGTAGTTTTCAAGTTACCAGCTCCTTTTACCTTTTAGTTCAATAGAGATCGGCAATTCCAGGGCTGAAATTATCCAAATGATTCTAGTGAAGGTGTACGGAGTTTAAAAACACAATGGAGCAGTTCTATTATTACCACATGACATCACAAGGTGGAACAGCTTAAATATGCAGGATTTGTGTGTTAAACATGTGTGAGTGAAACAAAACACAACTGCAGAAATATTTGTGATGATGAAACATAACAGATCAGAAATTAGCTTAACGCAGACCTTGTAATGAGGACCAAACTGTGCAGGATCTCAATTGGATCTTGTGGAGCATTTCTAGTCTGGAAGGGAGAAGTGAAGGGACTTTTGGCTCCTTTATGAGATCCACATTTTTTTTTTTTTCGATCTGTTCATTGCAAAGAGCTGTTCAAAAGACAAACTCTTTTAGTATTGTTATGACAGAAGCCAATGTGAGAACTCATTTTAACAACAAACTAACCTTGGAGAGAAATGAACCTAGAGTCAGATGGTTCAAACTGAGAGTGGGAGTGTGTTTACCCTTTGAAATGATGCATAATCTAAATAAAACATTCCACTACAATATTAATTATAACAAAAATAACTGTTATTAAGATGTCAAATATGTTTTCTGTGCACAAAGCTCTCACTCGTGTTAGCTACGAAGAAAAAATGCACTAAATAATTGAAACAAAACACATTCGGTTCTTTTCAAAACGTTAGATCCGGTTCCAAAAATTCACATTAAAGGTGCATTGCGTAACTTTTCTGGTGGAGAGTCTTTCAAATGCTTTTCTCCATGGAGATGTTATTGCTTTGTCTGGAATGTTTCACAGTATTCTTTCTTCATGGAGACCAAACCAGACCAAGTTACAGGTCAGATCTGTGAAGAGGCGACCATTCTCAGAGTTAGAACGGCGGTTTTTGTAAGTATTTTTGAGCTATAAAACCACCTGTAATTGAATAAATGTCAAGTAGAGCTGTTTAATGTCATACTGTGGAACTTTTCACGCAGAGCAGTGACATATCCATGGAAACAAGCAGGTGACGGACCCCCAACCAAAAGAGCCGTCTCATTCACAAACGTCCCATCACTAAAGGGTACAAAGTTGAACCAGCAGCACATAACAGATTTACTGCTCGGATCAAATTACTCGTACATTATAAGTAACAATAAAAAGCAGATGGTCTTATTGAATTTTCAGAGAATCATTTCCAGAGACAGGCTCTTCCAAGTTCGCATTTCTCCATGATTTTCATTTAGGCCTCTCAAATCTAAGATGTGGTTACAGAGTGCTGAGAGAAAGGGGGTATCCAGTGGCCGGGTAAATGCTGACTTCACTCTGACTATAGTGTATTACGTAACACATTCTCATAGCTAAAACAATAGAGCTCATTCTACTGCACCTGGCCAATGATTTAACACTTCATATTTTACTCACTGTGTACTTTGAATGTCAGCGTGGACGGACTGTGCTTCACCAATCCCGTCCAAATATTTGAATCATCGTAATCTATGTAGTAAGGCAGAGGCGATGAAGTACTTTTGTTACCTAAAGTTGCACCGTGTAACTTTTCTTTTGGAGGATCCGTCAAATGCTTTTCTCCGTGGAGCTGTTATTGCTTTGTCTGGAAAATTTCACAGTTTGGTATTGAACCATTTTAACTTCATGGAGACCTAACCAGAAGAAGTTACAGGTCAGATCTGTGGAGAGATAACCCCACTCAATCATAATCTGTTTTTTGAGGTATTTTTGAGCAATAAAAGCATCTGTAATTGAAAAAATATAAGATGTTTAATGTCACACTGTGGAAAATCCCAGGCAGAGCAATGACATATCTGTAGAAACAGTCAAAAACGTACTGTATTACTTGTACTTCATTGCTTTCCACCACTGGTTAAAGGTAGTTTCCACTCATCGTGCAGAGTGACAGCTGGAGCAGGCAGGAACTTGACTGCGAGTATACACACAGAGCATGTACATTTTCCATCTTTATAATTAACACCTTGCATTCTCTCTTCCTGCTGTAATCCTCTACAATTATTTTTCATACGAATCCTTGGAACCTGAACAGTCATCTTTGCTCAATCCTGCGAAGATTTCTCATCTTCACAATCCGCTCTTACATCAAATGCTGGTATGTTTTCGAATCAGCGAGTGTGTATTTTTTTGTGGGAACCCAAACACCTCGGGGAGATTATGTATAGGGCCAGATAAGGCGACCAAGGGCCACATTCCAGCACCTCTTGTTGAGAATCAAGAACTGGCCCTTTCCCACATTGATAAATGAATACAAACGTGAGAGCACAGGTTTTCCTACGTGTATGCAACTCAGAACTCACTACTATGTGAAAATTAACCCAGCTACAATATTAATAGCACCTTCACTGAAAATGTGTAAGTAAAATTGCAGTTACATGGCTATAATTATACTCAATTAGCCTACAAGTTGCTATAATTGAAGGCTACTTAAAGAGCCCATATTATGTTCTAATCTATGTTATAATGTTGTTTCCTCATCACAAACGTATCTGGAGTTGAGTTTTGTTTCATTCACACATGTTTAACTCACAAACCTGCATATTTAGGCTGAGTTCTTCTCTCAAATGGAAAACACTGTGGCAATGCAAGAAGTGCTCTACTGTGGTCAGAGGTGGGACCAAGTCGTTGTTTTGCAAATCTCAAGTAAGTCTCAAGTCTTTGACCTCAAGTCCAAGTCAAGTCCCAAGTCAAATACAGAAAAGTCCAAGCCAAGTCTCGAGTCACTGGTCTATAAATCCAAGTCCAAGTTACCTGCTTTGAGCTTCAAGTCATTTCAAGTCCTTAAACCAAAGTAAAAAATATAGCTTCAATTTTTGCAATTTATATGAATTATACATTAAATTGTACTTAAAAAGTCATGGTATATTTATGTGTGAGTATTTATATAAGAGTTGTAGAAATGCAAGTTTTTCCTTTTTAAATGTCTTGACAAGATCTTAGGGTGAATCAGAACAGAAAGAATTCAGATTTAAAAATGCTTAATAAAAGTTATATTGTCATATAGTCTGCACTGAAATGGAAGGATCATTTTCTTTGTAGTGCCCTCTGTTTTATTGCATATTATTGTATAACACATCACAGTAAGTCCAGTTCAGTTATGTCCAAAGTAACAAAGAAGTAGGAAGGACATGTTCCAGTTTGTTCCTGTAAAATTCAGTACTGCATTTATCAACTGAAAAGAGAAAAATATTTTCTAAAACCATATATTTCTTTAGAAGAAGCATCAAGTCTTCTCAAGTCACTAACTTTCAAGTTCTAATCAAGTCCCAAGTCTTTGTCCATTTTATCAAATAAAGTCCTAAAAATAATGCCTCAAGTCTGACTCGAGCCTAGGTCGAGACTTGCAAGTCCCTATTTCTGCTCCCATACATTTTCACTAGAATCATTTGGATAATTTCAGCTCTGGAATTGCCAAACTCAACAGAACAAAATGTAAAATGTAGCTGTTAACTTGCAAACTACCATTACATAACATCACAAGGTGGAACAGAGCATTTTCAGCTTTGGAGATGTAGACAGAGTAATAACAAAGGATTTCTCAAGTGTGTGAATGAAAAAACACAACTTCAGGTATGTTTTTGATGAAGTAACAACATTATAACTTGGCTTGAAGCTCAAAAGAATAAATATAGGACCTTTAAAATGTAACATACATATAATTATTTAACATTTTGTTTATTAGAGATAGTGGAAAGGAGAGGAGGAGACAGGGGGTGGGTGAAATTAAACATTTTTCTTAGCCTAAGTCCTCAAGTGCAGGACAATACAAGATTAGTAAAACATGCATGAATCAAAGTTTTTCAAAATTCTAATGGCGTTTAGTTTACATATGGTATAGTATAAAGTACTCATGAAAAATACCACTCAATGTAGTTACTAATATTTTTTTCTGCAATTTTATATCTGTCTTTCATAGAAAACCTGATTATTTAAATAACAAAATGACCCCAAGTAACACATCCTCTCAGTGCCCTTAACAAACATGGATATTTGAACGTGCATTTACACAGCACTGAGACCTTTCTCCTGCACTAACACGATCGATGATTCTGTTGGTTGTGTCAGTTCACAAACACGCCAACAATCTGACACACACATGGCTCAGAGCTCCCTGTCTGAAGGATCTGCTGCAGATGTTGTGCTGCGGTTGTGGAGGCAACTGGGCAAACTTCAAAATTGAGTACACAAGTATAAGTGGTCTAGGAAATTATGCTGTAGTAAGACCAAGCCCGTCAAGAGAAATTTGGGGACTCACATGGCTCCCCCTCTAATGTTAATTAATAGGCAGGGGTTCCAATTCTGAAATCCAAAGACCCTGGGGCCTGGGACAACAGACCTCTTTGTGTATTTGTGTTTATTCAAATAGGAGTCAAAGTCAGACATCACTTTTACTCCTATTTGAATACTTCTCAGAGTGTAACTACAATTTTAAAGGGTCTATATTACACTATTTTTTATCTATGTTATAATCTTGTTTCCTCATCAAAAATATACCTGGAGTTGTGTTTTGTTTCAATCACATGTTTAACACACACATCCTGATCGTTTAGGCTTTTTAGGTTCCAAACTGAAACCACTTGTGATGTCATCAGGTGGTAATATTCAAAGTGTGTGTGGTCTTAAACTCCATATGCCTTCACTAGAATCATCTGAACACTTTGCAGCCCTGGAATTGCCAAACTTTGAAGACACAGCTCTTGTTTTAACCTTGTTGAAATGTCTTATTCTTGTGTATTGTACAGTAAAGCACTTCAGTTGAGGCTAAAAATAGATTTTAACTGCAACTTGATGACATCACAAGGTGGAACAGAGCATTTTGAGCTTTGAAAATGTAGACAGACCAATGAAGCAGGGTTACTCAGACGTGTGCGAGTGAAACAAAACACAACTCTGGGTATGTTTTTCAGAAGGTAAAAGTGTTATAACATGGCAAAAAGCTCCAAGAGTCAATTTTGCGTAATATGGGACCTTTAAAATAAATGTACTTGAGTTAATGCATGTGTGCTATGCATTTCTGCAACTGGGGTATTGTGTGTTTATCACATGGCCGTACTGTACCAGGAATTTCACAAGGAGACACACACTTAACTCTGAGGATTTAAAACTATGCTGATTTGAAATCTCAGACCCTGACTGAGCAGTCTGATGACTTGATCATCCTTTCCCCATGTGTCAGAGCCAGGTGTCAGACATGCCTGTGTGTGTGTGTGTGTGTGTGTGTGTGTGTGTGCCTCTGTGTGTGTGTCTCTATGTGTGCATGTGTGCGTGTGTCTGTGTTAGCCATTGAGGTGGACAAGACTAAACCTGTTGAGCCAAGACCCATAGCCTAGAGAGCCAGTGTTTTAGATGATTACACTGGTACTATTGAGATTGTAACACTGTGTAAAATAAAATAGAATAAATTAAAATAAAAACAATCAAATTAAATGATCTGTTCAATGGCTTTGTTTACCTAAAATATAACAAACTGACAGGATTTGCACAACATGTACAGCCCAGTCTTGACTAATGGCAGTCTTAAGCCATGTTTTTTAGGGACAAACGTAGATCTTTGCTGCCCTCTTGTGGTTAAAAATAACTTGTAATTCAATTTGCACGATATTACAAATCCTTCCTAAATATAAAAATAAAAATAAAAAATAAATAAACAAATGAATAGAATTTCACTATTGCGACAAATCATCAGAATCACTTTAAGCTTTTATCACTCAGTTGTATTTACAGGACAAATTAGTTTAAATTCATTATACCAAGGCCAGAACAGCAGGACTATTTTGAAGGCTATAAAGAATTAACAATTATTTATAGCCTATTTAAACACAAAAAATAAGTTTCATCTTCATGACTGATGTAGGCCTAAATGCTTTTGTAGGCTACCTGTTTTCCACTGACCACAAGATGGCGCTCATACCCTGACTCCATCACTCCATGTTTTCCACCTAGGTCCATGTCTTACACTTAAACTTTAGCGGCTTTTTTTATTAAAATGTAATTGTATGAGGAGTTTAGGGCTTTAGTCCCATTTTGATGTTGCCGTTGTGGGGCCTCTTAGCACAGGTATTCACACTTCAAACTCTGCCCCTGTAACCAGGACAGTCTTCCGTGATGGCACTCAGTACTTGAAATTGCAGTGGTCACTGAAGGCAACACACACTTAGTTAAACATTTTTGACCAGTAAGCTGCAAATTTCCTTTGGTTTCTCTGAAAATGCCCAAAACAGGAAAAACTAGACATAGCAGATAATGCAAAAACATACACTATACGTGGTTTAGTAACAAGAAGAAGTAGGCCTACGTTTAGTTTTTACCTTCCACTTAAGATTTTTGCAGGTTTAATTAAATGCTACATGTGAAGAAGTAACCAGAACATTTATGTGTGTAAGATATAATGTAATGTATCTGAGTGCTTAACTTGACTTTTTTCTGAATGATGAATCATTCATCATAATACTCTGTTATAGTCCAATTAAATCGGCCATTACGGCATAATTCACAGACTATGTTGTGGAACGTGGATCACATTATTGTGTGATTAAATATAATGAAGGACTAGGCCTATAATTAATGTAGCCTATACATTACCTTTTTTGATTGTATAACAAAATGCTTATCTATATTGTATTCAATAAATGAACAGTGCATTAAAAAAAAAAACAAGAAAATGCAAAAACATCTAGGTTTATATCCAGTCTATACAGTCTCTATATATGTAACCCATTGCCCCCGTCTGGACCAAGGCCAGTTTATTTCTTGACAGTCAAACGTCTACTAATTAAGTTACATAAAATAAATATAACATAAAATTTAATAACATAGTGTTACAAAATGTTATTACACAACAGGTTATGACAAGATGCCTTCAAAGTGCAATAAAACTTTCCCATAAAAAAACAAACAAAACAACTATGTTAGTAAGAGCTTTTGCTCTTCTGTTACTTTATGTGCGCGGGGGAGAAACTTGGTTTCAGGTCTTTTAAGATTTAAACATCTTTGGCAGCAGCTTTATTCTTAACAAACTCTCCCGTCTCTTCCGTAGTTATGAAACTTCGAAACGCACGTTTTGTAATCACTGCGTCTGACCAATCACAGCACGAGCCTGCTGCTCACGTGACGTAGTTTTTATGTAACAAACGGGTGTCAATAGGAAAGTCCTCTGTGCTGCTGCTCTCAAGGACCGCAGCAACTATAGAAATGTACAGATACACTAACAGCAAACCTCTTTAACCTTTTTTCATTACTCTAAAATGTCGATTCAGTCGCACGCGGCGCTGGAGGCGTCGGAACGAAGCGCGTTCTTCATCGGGGAGGACTGGGACGAGGTGGTACCTGAGGAGAAGGGCCACCATGAACTCATATTACAGAAAGCAGATGCCCTAGCATCGGAGAACTGTCTCAAAGAGGCCATACACTTATTTTCTGTCGCTATGCGCTACGGCCCATTAAAGCCGGAACAGCTGAGCACTTTCGTGGACTGTATTCTTCGCAATTTTAAAAGGAAATCTGAATCCTGCCCGGAGCAGCGTCTGGACAAAGCGGACAGCTCCAGAGATGACTTATTTGAGTGTCCAAATTGCCATAATTTCTTGGGAGAACCAGTGACTGCAGCCTGTGGACATACCTACTGTAGAAGATGTTTACAACGGCGCCTGTTATGTAAATGCAGGGTGTGTAATGAAGCAGTGACAGGGGAGAAAGCCAATATACTGCTGTGTGGACTCGTAGAGAAATGGTTTCCTGAGGAACATAAAATATCCAGGACTGTAGGTGAAGTAGATGCTCTTTGTAAAAAAAGACAATATGACGACGCCATTTCGCTGGCCTCTGAGATCATAGACTCAGGTGAGTAAAGCACATGTAGAACATGCATAACTCTAATAGGTCTGTGGCATAACCTCACATCCATGTTATGACAGCGTTTCCTGGTAAACCGGCGCAGGCTCAGTAGGCAAAAATAAAACCTCTGCCTTTACATGACTGTTGTGTCTACACGGTGTTCATTGTTCTACTGACCAATATTTTCAAGTCCGTACAATTGTTTACTGCTTCTACATAGGCCACCCACGACGCCACCCCGGGTAATTAGATGGTGAGGTGAGGTCAAATACGGCTTACGAAAGTTATCACTGCGCGCATGCGTGTTCTGTGGACATTGCATAAGGCAGGTCGTGATCGCGACCCATATATGATCATGGATCTATGTGTATGGGTCTTAAAGAGGTGCATCTTAATGCTATAGGACTGGTTTAACTGTTTGTCTATAGCCTGTGAAGATTATAATGAGGCTCATGGGGTTATTAATTGGTAAAGGCCAGTACAAATGCATTCAAATGGCTTTCTGTTGATATTTTTTGATAATTCTTTACATAGCCTCACACTTTTCAGTTGTATGTAGGTCAAGTGATATAATAAGTCACATAACCAAGTAATCAACTGCCTCTGTCTCAGGCCGCCTCAAATCAGCTGTTATCTAAAGGAAACTAATGTGTCTGATTGTTGTTGTATTATACAACATTACATTATAGCACTTAAATAAATGTGATCAGTCTGTCCTGAATTAAACAATAGACCTACATTTGTGCATCTTATGCACAGGCTCCTCACAGCTTCTCACAAAACCTCTAAGATTTTGTGCTTTTGAGATGCATTTTTTAAACATTTTCTTATGAGAGGGCAGTAAATCTGTCTGACTTAAATGTGCATTCGTCTGTATCTCCACAGGTTAAGGTACACTTTACTTTACTATGAAGGACATTTGTCCTCTGCATTCTACCCCTTTTTCATTAAACTATATTTTATTTATTCAGGTCTGTCTGGAATAATAATAAAAATAGACTTTACCGTCTTTAATTAAACTATCTTTAATTTATTCAAAAACAGACAGTTGTATCAAAAGCGGTTGGTTTGGTGGAGGTTTAGGCCATTTTCTGGAACATTCCAGGCAAACCCAATGTCTCCATAGAGAAGAACAGCTTTTGGACCCTCCACCTAAGAACTAACATAGAGCCCATTTAGTAACTTTAACTTTTGTAGATTTTTTTGAGTATTCACTTTATTTTTTGGCATGTTAAACTCTTTCATGCAAATGAAACTTAAGTGCTTGAAAGAGCCTTCTTGAGGGTGATTGACTGACAGCAGGTGTAGATTCATGAGATCTGTTTGCATTACCTTCTTAGGACCATATTGGTCTATAATGGGAAAGCTAGTTTTAAAAATAATCTATTTGAATAGTAATATGTAATAGCTCTTTTTTCCTCTTCAGGTCATCCAGATTCAACAGCAGTGGCGCGTTTGTCTCGTGCAGAGGCTTTCATGGCCATGAAACAATACAACCAGGCTCTGGAAGACACCGAGTTCTGCTCCAACTTCAGATTCTCTGCAGAAGTAAGCCACGATCTTTTCTCATTTGTCTTTTATTTTTTGTCTTCTTTATAATTTTATAATTTCTGCTTTTATTGGATTACAGTATTTACATTGAAGAATGTATTAAAATATGTAGATAACACTTAGATGGTGTTTAAAGGTGCACTATGCAACTTTTTGGTTGAGGGTCCTTCGACTGCTTGTTTCTATGGATATGTCATCGCTCTGCCTGGAATGTTCCACAATATGACATTAAATTACAGCTGGTTTTATAGCTAAAAATCCCTAGGAAAACAGGCATTCTAACTGTAAGCGGGGTTGCCTCTTCACAGATCTGACCTGTAACTGCTCTGGTTTGGTGTCCATGAAGACTGAAAGCTTTAATTGTTCATTGTGAAACATTCCAGACAAAGCAATAACATCTCCATGGAGAAAGGCATTTGATGGAGCCTCCACTAGAAAAGTTGCACAATGCACTTTAGGTTTTGGTATTGGCCTGACCTTGTTTGCTTCTTTAGGTGTTGTTCAGGAAAGCCATGGTACTGAATGAAATGGGTCAGGTGGATGAGTCTCTCCAAGTCTTCCTTCAGTGTTTGTCTATAGACGAGGACTTCCCCAGTGCAAAGAGACAAGTGGAAAAGGTGAAGGACCAAACTGCTCTGATAACGATTGTTTGTTTTACTTTACTTTATTATTTTATTAGCATTACTAATTTGTGATAATAATTTTATTACATCTTATTTCACCTGCTTTATATCAGATATATTTCAGTGAAGGCCTTGTTTACTTGTAGGAGCGTTACAAAATCAAATTTCATAAGTTGTTTTAGTGGGTCAGGTCTGGTGACCTTCTATGTAATGAAATTAGTATCAGTTACAACAGTTCAAATGCTAAGTAATAGTAAGTAAGAGTTCACATTAGTGCATTTAATGAAGACTTATTTTGTAGTAAATGTAATAATTTAATTAGTTTGTTCCACATATGACTTTTATTAATGTCTGAATGGTGCTGTCTTAAAGCATTAGACTTTATATTCAGTAAAGGCAAATCTGATTAAATCCTGATGTCTCTATTACATTACTCTAAATGTTAGTATGAACTTCTTCAGTTACACAGTTTGGACTGTTCCCGGAGTACACAGACTGACCCAATTACACCCAATCTAGTGTCTCTCTATTGTTGTGTATGATTTTTTTGGGGGGGTCAATCAAACACTGAGATGTTGCAATTAAGCAATCATTTTTGTTTCAGATTTTGTGTGGTCTACTTTCCCCAACTCGAGAATGTTAAAGTTGGTCTGAGAGAAACAACGCAGAGCACTTCCCCTCGTCTCCGCAGTAAAACCCTGGTGTCTGACGCGCAAACAGATCCACAGAGTCCGGTTCAAAGACAAGACTGCCAGCATCAAGGACGCGCCACCTCTGCCCACCCCTCACTGGAGAGTCAGGAGGTACACACAACCTCACCTACACTCATATCATACTCTACCACTGTTAAAACAACTCAACATTATGTAAGAGATAGCCTTATCCTCGTCCTGTCAATGATTATATCATCTTTGCACTGTTTTCCTTATGACCTCTTGTATTGACCTTACCCTGGAAGTTGCCATGCACGCTCCCTTCATCATTTGAGTTCTGTCATTTTGCATGGGCCTGCTTATCCTAACAGCAAATTGATTGACTGATTTGTGCCAAGAGAGAAAAAATAATCATATATATACTGCATATTTATTATAACAACAGAAAAGCACATTTCTCTTAAATTAAATAATTTGAAAAAAAAAATGTGGTTGCTTATGTACACTGATTACAAAACCTTAAAAATATTTACATATAGCAAAATAAATTACACATTATACATACTAAATGTGTAATAGACATGACATAACAAATAAGTTCAATAAAGCCATTTTAAAGCCTCCTAGAGAATCAGTGAGATACTGTGTCCAAGTAATTCCCGTGTGGATCAATCAAGTTTGTCTAAGCAAGTCTAATTTGAGTATTTATGACTCCACAGAGACGCTTTGAAAGCTTAGAGAGACCTGGTTTGAGCCGTGCCCTCTCATTACGAATGCATGGGTCTATCAGCAGTGATGAGGGCTTGAAGAGGGTCTGTTCTGCTCCACAACTGGGCGACCAGGAGAAAGGAAGCCTGTTGAAGAGGAAGTTGTCAGCGTCAGAGGCTGAGCATTGTGTTTTGGCTAGTGGAAATAACAAGCATAAAAAAGGTCAGTATCTTTTATGTAACTGAGCTGATTTGATTGAAAGGGCCCATATTACGCAATTTTGTGATCTATGTTATAATGCTGTTTCCTCATCATAGACACAAACCTTGAGTTGCGTTTTGTTTCATTCACACATGTTTAACACACAAATCCAGAATATTTTAGGCCGCCACACACTACAGGTGAGTATGCCCGATTTAGGGTGCAATTTGCTTCTTCCCGAGTTCAGGGGGGCATGACCTGACTTTTACGATTAGTGAGCATCTTCGGCGTTGTTAAGCAGTTACATGGTTCACACTATTTACATGTTGCCACAAGTGTGTTGCTATTAGTGTGCTGATGGTCATCCACTTTGAACTCTTAGGAGTCTCAAAACGAGTTGTTTTATTCTACACAGAAAACCGCTGACGTGAAGTCCGCTCACAACTTTAGACTGTTTTATGTAGCCGTATCTCGCAGCAATTTTTGTCACATTCTCCTCTTGTCTGCGGTGTGTGCTTTTTGTTGCACGTTTAAAAAGTCGTTTAAGACCAAATAATCCTGCTGTGTGTGGCGGCATTTAGGCTGAGTTCCCCACTGTGTTTTTAAACTCCATGCACCTTCACTAGAATCATTTGGATGATTTCAGCTCTGGAATTGCCATGTGTATTGATCTAAAGGTAAAAGGTAGTTGTTAACTTGGAAAGTACCACTACATGACATCACAAGTTGGAACGAAGCGTTTTGAGTTTAGGAGATGTAGTCAGACTATTATTAAAGGATTACTCAAAGAATGTGTGAGTGAAAGAAAACACAGCTCCTGGTGTGTTTTTGATGAAGTAAACACATTATAACATGACTTAAAGATCACAAGAATCCATTTTGTGTAATACAGGACATTTACATTTTTTCATGCTTTGGAAAACTCACTCTGATGGTTTTGCTTCTGTCTCTGTAGGGGTCACAACCGACAGCCATCGCACCAGCAAAACTAGAATGTATAGAATTTTTCCTGAGGGTGGACTTAATCTCAATGATGTGGAGTGCTCTCTTTGCATGAGGTAAAGACTCCGAAAAACACAAAAAACTCTGCTGCTTAATGTAAAATGACATTATAATAATAAAAAATAACCTAATTTTCACCTTTTGTCTGTCACAGATTATTCTATGAGCCTGTTACTACGCCCTGTGGACATACGTTTTGTAAAAGCTGTCTTGAACGCTGCTTGGACCACATGCCTCAATGTCCCCTCTGTAAAGAGAGTTTGAAAGAGGTACAGAGCACTTAAAGTAGTAATTAGCAGAATGAATGAAGTAGAGCTGGGCAATATGGCAAAAAAACAACATGATTTTATTCCTTGTATTAGGTTAGGTTAGTTTTTTTGCCATTTGTAGTTAAAGGTGCATTGTGTAGCTTTTCTGGTTTTCTGTTTTTCTCCGTGCAAATGTTATTGCTTTGTCTAGAATGTTTCACAGTATTGTAACTTCTCTATCATCATGGAGACCAAACCAGACCAAAGTTACAGATCAGATCTGTGGAGAGGCAACCCTACTTATAGTCAGCTATAAAACTACTTGTAATTGAATAAATGTAATATAGAACAGTTTAAAGTCATACTCAGGAACATTCCAGGCAGAGAAATGACCATAAAATCCATAGAAACAAGCAGGTGATGGACCTCCAACCAAAAAGTTACATCGTGCACCTTTAAAAACCATAATGAAAAGCATGTTCAAAAAGCTCAAATTGCACCATGAGACATTAAAAACAACAATTATATGTACAGTTTCTAATTAACAACAAATATAAATCCCTTTTCATATTAATTCCATGAACACATATTAGACTAGTGCACAAAAAGCCCAATCATTGACAATTTTAAAGTATTGGATCTCAATTCGATTAAACTCTAATTAACTGTACAGCTCTTACCATCTTACTTTGTAGCTAATCAAGTCCTCGTCTTGTCTTTTTCAGTATCTAGCATCTAGAAATTACATCGTGACTAAACTCTTGGACACATTGATTAAGCGGTATTTAGGAAATGAATATGAAGAGAGAGCTAAAGTGCATCAAGAGGAAACCAGAGAGCTTTCAGAGTGAGTTTCCTTCTTGTTTTGAAATTTAATAATTACTGTATCATTAAAAGAGATTAAAATTTTTTTCTTATTTTTTTGTGCAGTTTGACAAAGAATGTGCCTATCTTTGTATGTACCATGGCTTACCCCACCGTGCCTTGCCCTCTACACGTTTTTGAGCCTCGATATCGCCTCATGATTCGCCGCTGCATGGACACTGGTACGCGGCAGTTTGGGATGTGTATCAGTGATCCAGAGAAAGGGTGAGTTAAAATTCCTCAGAACGGAACTCCCTAAATTCTTCTTCATTTGGGCACGGTCCTCAGCGTTCCATGGAGACTAACTCATTTCCAAGGAAGGAGATAACTTCATAATCATTACAACTGATGTAATTACAGTAAATATTAAGGCTCAGAGGCATTGCGAAATCTAATCCTGATCCTAACCACAACCTGATTGTAAAAAAAACTGACAAAAATCTGTTTGCATAACCATTTATATAAAGTGGGTGTTTGGGGGAAGAATCTAGAAGTCTAATTTAAGTTTAAAGCTTTATTTGTCAGAAATGTCTGTTTCTTAGACCTGCACTGCAAAAAACTTGACTAAAATTTACGATATAAACACTTAAATCTATCAGAAAATGACTTAAAAGTAGTGAAATTATCTGTCCATGCTGCAAGATAATTTTACTTGACAAGTTATCTTAAAATAAACTACCTCTAGACTAGAATTAAGCATTCTCAGAACTAGTAAGTAGATAAATCTGAAAGCATGATTAATAACCTGATATAAATTTTTAAATCTTGGCCAGATCAGAGAAATTTGCAGTGTGGCAGCTCAGTTGAATAAAAAAAACCCTGTTAGAATGTTGCTTGTCATGGTTGCAGTAGAGCGTTTAGTCCTGCCCGTGGATGAAATGCTTTTAGGGAGTCCCTCAGAGCAGCAAAATGTAAAAAAAAAATCTAACTAAATCTCTTCTTGCAAACAGGTTTGTGGATTATGGCTGCATGCTCATTATCAGAAGTGTCCATTTTCTCCCCGATGGACGGTCAGTGGTGGATACGATCGGTGGAAAGCGCTTTCATGTGCTGTCGCGGGGAATGAAGGACGGCTACAGCACTGCCAACATCGAGCACTTAGAAGATACTAAGGTACCGTTAAGTTTGTTTATTATCACTTTTAACCTTTTCCTGCTTTGACTTTTGGCAATAACTGATGTACGTGTGATTGTGTCAGGTGGAGGACAGTGGAGACCTGTATAGACTACAAGAACTACACGATGCCGTTTATGAGCAGGCCTGTGTGTGGTTTCAAAACCTCAAAACTCGCTTCCGTAACCAGATCTTACAACATTTTGGGGCAATGCCAGAACAAGAAGCAAACATTCAGGTAAATTTCTCGATTTCTTAATTGTTCCTATTTGAGTGACAAACAAGTTTTTTAATGCCTAATAGGCTCTGTGTACAGCAGCATGAGTTACTTTTATGGATAAGAAAACATAAAATAAACACTTAATTAGGACTACCCAATTATTTTTATATGGAGAATACTGGTTTGTGGTTTTGCTTTAGTATTTATTATGCCCCAAATTAGAATTAATGCTAGCATTTAGACACAAGCATCTCTCTTTCTAAACACAGAAGTGTCCTCCGCTCAAGTGTTATTTGTGCACTGTCCACAGCCTTATTTTAAAATATTTATTCATTTTTGCTTGACTCAGCAAAAGTGTTACTGTGCACAGAGCCTGTTAGTAATGCTTAATTATTCATTCAGAGGTCTACATCTCTCTAGGAAGCCTTAGTCATAGAAATTAATTTAAGTCTGAGTCTAAAAACTGCAGCAGGCCAAAGTTAGTTTACAATATAGGTTAAAGAGCTTTGGAGTTAATCCTTCTGGCTGTTGCATCACCCTTGTTATAAGCAGTAACGCACACACAAACAGTCATTAACGGTGGCGTGTTTGTGTATTCCTCTTGTTGTGATAGTGTTAGATATTGTAAGAATGCTCAGTCCTTCACTCTTGAATGTTATGGCGGCTTTAGGCTTACGTATTCAATCACAAGATAATTCTTAGCGATATATCACTGACGCGCAAGCATTCCTGAAAGAGATTACCGTAAAAGGGAATTTATGTTCTAGTCTGTTCTGTTCTACTTTATTTTTAAAGCAGTTTTTTACACAAACAAAAGATAAGAAATGTATTTTATCACAGTAAAATATGAACTGCCCCTTACAGTTAGTCAAAGACGTTTGGAGTTGCTGTATAAATTGTCCATTTTGTCAATTTTGTCCATTATTCTTGATATATGCACTATATTCAATGATGGATACTGTACCTTTAGTATAAAATGTGTGTTTTATGCCAATACATCATAGGCTATTAGAGAAGGCAGCCATATACACTTCTTTTACAGAGATGTACTGTAGCTTCTAGTAGTAAAAATATATAGAAAGAGATCTTAGATATTAAACCAAATGTATTTTCTTTTAGGCGACTACAAATGGTCCGGCCTGGTGTTGGTGGCTTCTTGCTGTGCTTCCCATTGACCCTCCGTACCAGCTCTCAGTCCTGTCTTTGACCAGCCTTCGAGACCGCCTCGTAAAGATCCAGCACATTCTGACATATTTACAAAGTATTCAAACCAACTAGACCTTTCCAGAAGTTCATTTAAGGTCACACATCATTTTATTTTATTTTATTTTTTAAATACCAGGACAATGTCATTATAGGCCTGTCATGATAACACATTTTGAAGGACAACATTTTGCTACAGAGATATACTGCAATAATGATAAGATTGAAACCACTACTACTTCATACCATTGATGCAATAACAATCATGCAAAATAATCATTCTAAACCATTTCTAAATAGACAGAAGCATTAAAAGACATAAGCAGCAACAAATAAATAACAGAATGAATTAATAATGGAAGTTACTTTTTCAACCCTCAACAGCTCAAATCTTATCAATTACTACAAAAGTCTCCCAAAAACATTGTGAAAGCTTTCATATATTGAAGCATAAGTTGATATAGTAATTATGGTGACAGGCCTATGTCATTATCACTTTAGTTTGTTTTGAAGCTTCCTGGAATGAGAATAAATAAATGAGGATTGAATTATGATCACTGTTATATTAAGGATAAGGCTGAACACCTCAGGGATTCTTCCATTGATTCGATTGTGTAATAACATCTGCCCTTAGCCTTACCCTTTTAACTGATAGCATGGTTCATTTGAAGTAAACTGGATCAAATACATAAAAGGCTTCCCTTAAGCAGTGTTAAACCACGGGTTAAGAAACATAAGCTCTAATAAAGACTAGTGGCCAATACAGGATGATGTTGAAGTCTTTAAAAAACTGGATCCTAATGCTGGTACAGAACCTATTGCTGACTTAAATGTAAGACTTTGTTCATTTACATCACTGCCGAGAAAACGTGTTAGAAAACTTCAAATTATTGTTTCTTCCTAAGGAGAATAGAATGTTTCTCTGTCTTTTTTGTTTTGCTTGGTTACACTAATCTAAAAACTATCATTTAACCATAGACTGTATATATAAATGGACATAACTAACCTGCTTGCCACGTTCCACATAGGAAGTGAGCATGGGAGCGCTTCTGGCTTCATCGACTCTGGCTACAATTAACTTTACATTGAAAAATCGTCACCCCTCTCTCTCTAACTGCTGCAATGAGCCTCGTCGTTTTGGTTTTAAAATGGTCGTATTAACCCGCTCTACATGATCCTGGTGTTTTTATTTTGTTATTCATGTTTTTATATTTATTCTTCCTTAATAAATTTGGAACTCTACTCCAAATTCACTCCTATAACTGAGAATCTCGTGAGTCACAGTCCCTTAGTCCACTTCTTTATACAGTCTATGAATTTAAGATGCAAATCCAGAAATGTAATGGTCAACATTTTCACTCTCTTTCAAATAACGATACAGAAATCTTCCAAAACACATGGGTTAGTAACATTTTATTCTTGTTCTGCTGTGAGAATGTTTGAGGTTATAGATTCTCATCACAACACGAGAATGTACGATAAATTAATCAAAATTATTTAAATAGTACTTGTACATTCTCAGTGAGTTGTGGAGAATCCTAATGGGTGTTTGCAATATTGAGACAAATCGCGTACGTGAGGAGAAGTTCGCCGTGTTTTCCATTCAAAGCTGCTCTTTTGCTGCATGGAGGGGAAATATGCAGAGCTTTAGTCAAGGGACTGTGATTGCCTTACATCATTGTGAATTTAAAACAATGTGTCTGCTTGGTTACCATTCCTTTTTGCTATAGTATGAAGACACATTGCATTGTTTCTGTTTAAGTTTATAATGTAAAAACAAGTCGAACGCTATCAGTGTAAATCATTTGTACCATTTTTGTTTAAGTTAACAATTGTATTATATAAGAATAAATGCACATTTTCAACTTAACAATGTTTTTATTGGAGTGTTTTTATTTAATACTCATTTAATATCCAGCTGCTAGTAAGTATATGTTGAACGAGTGTGTCAATTATCAACCACTAGAGGGGGTAGTTACAGCATTATTGCCTTACAGAGGTATTGTATAACAAAATGAACCCACTGCATTTTTTAAACTCACATTTTTCTTCAAAAACAAAAATAAAAAGCTTCTTAAACATCCTATAACACACAAAATTGAGCTTTTAGCCATGTTATAATCATCAAAACACATCTGGGGTTGTGTTTTGTTTCATTCACACATGTTTGAGTAATCCTTTATTATTAGCCTGACAACTTAACAGCTCTTTTTACCTTTAATTCGGTAAAGATTGGCAATTCCAGGGCTGAAATCATTCAAATGATTCTAGTGAAGGTGCATGGAGTTTAAAAACACAGTGGAGCACCTCCTGTATTACCACACGACATGACAAAGTGGACTTTGAGAGAAGAACACAGCTTAAATATATGTGAATGAAACAAAACACAACTCCGTGTATGCTTGTGATGGAAACAACATTATAGCAAGAATCAGAAAATTGCGTAATATGGGCTCTTTAAGATTGAAACACAACATGATCAATCAGCTTTCGTGAGGTAAGGTGCTGGTCCACTCTCCGTCGACTCCAGTTGTTTGAAATCACCGCGCTGAGAGCATCATAACAAACTCTGCAGGCACACAGAGACAGCAGCGCAGTCAGATTCAATGATAAACACAAATGACAGGCTAATATCATAAGAGCACAGTGCAGGATACAGACATAATATTATCAGCCCTGCTCTAGACTTAATAGGAGGAGAATGGCTCGTTAGTAACCGAGTTTACAGCCCGTCTACATTAGTACAACGGAAATAAACGCTCAAAGTTAAAGGTGCATTGTGTAAATTTTCCGGTGCTGGGTTCATGAAATGCTTGTCTCCATGGAGATGCTATTACTTTATCTGGAATGTTTTACAGTATGGCATTAAACTGTCACATTTTCTTAGTCCAGTAGTCAAGACCACACTAATCGAGACCAAGACCAGTCTGAGACCACAGGGTCCCAAGACCAGGACAAAACCAAGACCTCTGAGGGTCAAGACCAAGACAAGACCGAGACTTTTAAAGGCTGAGACCAAGACGAGACCGAGACCACAGCCAATCGAAACCAAATCGAGACCATCATTGTAATTTTTGACATTTATTTGTATTTTACAGTTATTTTGGCACATATGTATCAATGTTTTTATAAATCTATCTCTATTTTTTTTTTTTCGAGTGTCAGACCTCAAGACTGAGACAAGACCGAGTCCAAACGCGGTTGAGCCCGAGTCGAGACCAAAACCGTAAAAAATGATGGGTCTCAAATACTACGACACTAGATTTTCTATCATCAAGGAAACCAAACAAGGCCAAGTCACAGGTCGGATCAGTCAGAATACCTGTTTTTCTAAATGTTAAACCACCTGTAATTGAATAAATGAGCTGTTTAATGTCATACTGTGGAACATTCCAGACAGACCAATGGCATATCCACAGAAACAAGCATGTGGCGGACCCCCAACCACAAATTTACACAGTTCACTTTTAAAATGCATTAAAATCTGTTACATAACATTTGTTTCCATTAAACTGAGATAACTTGTCACTCAACCCTGGTATTGATCTGACAATGTAAGCCACTGTTGTTTAAGTGCATTTGGCTTGAGGCCCTGACTATTGAATTCAAGCAGCCAATCAACACGTTTATTTTCTATTGTGTTGGTTAAGTCCTGGGCGCTGAAAGACCTTTGATTGTAGATGAGAGGCTGTTGACTGGTATTAAAGGGTAAGTCCTGATTAACACAGTTCCTTTATTCCTTTACCTGACCAGCCAGATGCACACGCTTTGACGAAACTTTACAAAGACGAGTGGATCCGGAGCTGTATTCTGTCTCCGGGATTTCAGAGGGCGTGATTGACAGACGGCTTAACCAATCACAGAGACACATGCTCTGTTTGTGTCAAAAATAAACATGACTTCGTGCATGCAAAAAAAGTGGAAAAAAGAGCATTAAAGGTACACTGTGTAACTTTTCGGTTGAGAGTCCATCACCATCTTGCTTCTATGGATGGATACGTCATTGCTCTGCTTCGAATGTTCCACAATATGGCATTAAACAGAGCCTTAGATGCATTCTATTATTATGTCTTTTATAGCTCAAAAGTACCTAGAAAACAGACTGACTGTGAGCGGTTGTCTTTCCAGAGATCTGACCAGTAAATTAGCCTAATTTGGTCTCCATGATCGTAGTGTAGTACTTCAAACTGGTCTTGGTCTTGAGACTGGCCTCTTCTAATGCAGTCTTGGTTTTATCTCAGAATCAACCACGTTGATTTGTTGCAATCTTGAAGGCGCTTGGACTCAGTCTTGTCTCTGTCTTGAAGGTGCTTGGACTCGATTTTGTCTCGGTCTTGAAGGTGTGTGGACTCGGTCTTGTCTCAGTTTTGAAGGTGCTTGGACTTAGTCTTTTCTCGGTCTTGAAGGCGATTGGACTCAGTCTTGTCTTGGTCTTAAAGGTGCTTGGACTCGATCTTGTCTCAGTGTTGAAGGTGCTTGGACTCGGTCTTGGACTCGATCTTGTCTCAGTGTTGAAGGTGCTTGGACTCGGTCTTGTCTCGGTCTTGAAGGCGCTTGGACTCAATCTTGTCTCGGTCTTGAAGGCACTTGGACTCGATCTTGCCTTGGTTTTGAAGGTGCATGGACTCATCTTCTCTTGGTCTTGAAGGTGCTTGGACTCGGTCTTGTCTCGGTTTCAAGGTCAGACATTTGACGAGTGATAAAATGGAGATAGACTGTATAAAAAGATTGATATACAGTATATGTGCCAAAATAAATACAAATAAATGTTGAAAATTACAAAGATGGTCTCGATTTGGTCTTGATGGACCGTGGTCTCCGTCTTGTCTTGGTCTCAGCCTTTAAAAGTCTTAGTCTTGTCTCGGTCTCAACCCTCAGAGATCTTGGTCTTGCCCTGGTCTTGGGACCCTGTGGTTTCGGAATGGTCTTGGTCTTGACTACAACACTTCTCCATGATGACAGAAAGGTTTAATGCCATACTGTGAAACTTCTCAGAAAAAAACAAAAACATCTCCATGGAGAAAAGCAGGTGACAGATCTCCACCAGAAAAGTTACACAATGCACCTTTAAGGACTGAGAAATACCACAGATTTTTACAGAATCAACTATCAAAGCATCAAACTATTACTTATCTCAAGTAAAAGAAGTTATATATTTGGTTCTGAATGTTAGGAGAATTTTGAAAAGAAGAGATTTTCTGCATTTGACAGACACGCGATACAAATGAGCAGCTGTGGCTTGTCTGGAGTTTGGATGCAGGATTTTCTCGCTCTATTATCTGATTCCAGCTCCTTTTTAAATTCAGACAGAATTTAGAAGGGACTGGCTGGTCAGGCAAATTATTCCCCAGGTCCACATGAACCCTTTTCACTCTTTGGTAATGTTTCTTTTGAGTGGACCTCTTTCTTCTGGAGTCGCCTTTATATTCAGCCCATGAGACTAAACTGGACGGATAGGCTGCCCCAGAGGCTAATTGATGATAATGAGGTGCGCTGGCTGCTTATTGATCCCTGCAGAGACTGACACGCCTTTTCATATGTTCTCAATAATTATAATTGATCGGACAGCCCAGACAGGACAAACCGAACCTCACTAACGTAAGCTGGTTTTGTGCTTCAGTTAAATGTAGTGTTCACGGGTGCGAGAAGTACACGATTTTGTTTCTTAAGTAAACACACACACACAGGAGCAAAAAATACTCAAGTAAAGTAAAAGTATCACATTAGAAATCAAAGTATTAAAGTCCCTGTTTAAAAATGTACTTAAGAGTAAAAAGTAAACATCTTATTATCTTTTATCGCAATATATCTCTATAGCAATATATTGTGCTTAAGAATTTTTCATCATGATTGTGTTATTATGGATGTCTTTCTATTGTCTACTTGTCCACAACATCCCATAATGCCGTTGGTGCTGGGGTGTCCTTGGAGCTGTCCACTGGAGCGATGGTGCTGGTGTGTGGCGTGTGACAGGTGTCCAGTCATCTATTGATTTGCGTAATGCACTACTGATTAGATTGGACTCCCACCTTTCCATAACTAACACACCTTGACACCTTTACTTTTACATCAACGTCCTCCAGTTGTGGAAGATAATAAATTAAAAGTAGTACATTTTACTTACCTATAATGTTTAGATATCTGTACTTGACTTAACTTCACTTTTTACTTTTACTTAAATACATTTGAGAGCAGGTATCTATACTTTCTACTCCACAACATTTTTGAACAAGGCTGAAAAGTAAAAGCATTTTTAAATAGTCTGAGACCTGCTGAAAGGTTTATTTTTGACATGTTCTTTGTTTGAGCAAATAACAAATAAAGTGTCAATTCAGTTGTTTCTGTTACAAAAAATCAGCACAAATCTTTATCAATACCACTACATTTGAAGCTTCATTAGATCTCAGAATGTGTAAGAAATACTTTTTAACAATAATTTGTATTCTTTAAGTACATTTTTAAACTGGTAGTTTAATACTTTTACTTAAGTTTTTTATTTTATTTTTTTTCATTTGATACTTACTTGCTTTTACTTGAGTATTTCCTTGCTCTGATATCTCTATTATTTTTCTGGTGGAGGGTTTGCTATCTATCTATCTATCTATCTATCTATCTATCTATCTATCTATCTATCTATCTATCTATCTATCTATCTATCTATCTATCTATCTATCTATCTATCTATCTATCTATCTATCTATCTACGTCTGTCTGTCTGTCTGTCTGTCTGTCTGTCTGTCTGTCTGTCTGTCTGTCTGTCTGTCTGTTGTCTGTCTGTCTGTCTGTCTGTCTGTCTGTCTGTCTGTCTGTCTGTCTGTCTGTCTGTCTGTTCTGTCTGTGCTTCTGTCTATCTATCTATCTATCTATCTATCTATCTATTACTGTCTGTCTGTCTGTTGTCTGTCTGTCTGTTCTACCTACCTACCTACCTATCTATCTATCTATCTATCTATCTATCTATCTATCTATCTATCTATCTATCTATCTCTATCTATCTATCTATCTATCTTTATCTTGTCTGTCTGTCTGTCTGTCTGTCTGATCTATCTTCTATCTATCTATCTATCTATCTATCTATCTATCTATCTATCTATCTATCTATCTATCTATCTATCTATCTATCTATCTATCTATCTATCTATCTATCTATCTATCTATCTATCTATCTATCTATCTATCTATCTATCTATCTATCTATCTATCTATCTAACTGTCTGTCTGTCTGTCTGTCTGTCTGTCTACCTACCTATCTATCTATCTATCTATCTATCTATCTATCTATCTATCTATCTATCTATCTATCTATCTATCTATCTATCTATCTATCTATCTATCTATCTATCTATCTATCTATCTATCTATCTATCTATCCTATCTATCTATCTATCTATCTATCTACTGTCTGTCTCTGTCTACCTACCTACCTATCTATCTATCTATCTATCTATCTATCTATCTATCTATCTATCTATCTATCTATCTATCTATCTATCTATCTATCTATCTATCTATCTATCTATCTATCTATCTATCTATCTATCTATCTACAAAGATGTTATTGTTTTGTCTGGAAGGTACTGGTGTTTCATTAATCTTACCCTTACATGAGTTTTTATTAACCTAAAAACTTGCATTCTTACTGCAAGTGGGCTCGCCTCTCCACAGATCTGACATATAACTTGGCCCTATGGTGTCACCTGCTGTCTCCACAGAGATAAATAAGTGCAATGCCATACTGTAGAACATGCCAGGCAATATCTCCATGGAGAAAAGTTGATGACAAACCCTCCACCAGAAAAGTTACACAGTGCACCTTTAAGTACATTTTTTTCATTTGATACTTTTACTTGAGTATTTCTGTGCTCTGGTATTTGTACTTTTATTTTATGGAGGAGGGTCCATCACTTGCTTGGTTCCATGGATATGCATTGCTGTATAGTGTGACATTAAACAGTTCTTTCTCAAATTTATTCAATTACAGATGGTTTTATTGCTCAAAAATACCTAGAAAAACAGGCATTCTGACTGTGAGGGGGATCGCCTCTCCACAGATGTGGCCTGTAACTCGGTCTGGTTTTGTCTATATGAATGAAAATAAAAAGGTTTAACACCATACTGTGAAACATTCCAGACAAACCACTAATATTTCCACAGAGAAAAGCATTTGATGGACCCTCCACCGGAAAAGTTACATAATGCACTTTTAAGTCACAAAATCGAGTAGTTCTCCCAGCAGTGCCGTCCTCCCGCCTCATTTCTCCCGTGTTCCAGTGAGTTGTCCCATTGAGCCGGGTCTATTCCTGTCTGACGCTGCCACCTGTCTGCTCTGTGCTCTCTCCTTCTGTAACAGCACACCGCCTGCCAAACTGCTTTGATTAATCGTCCTGTAATGGTCAGATTGGGCTCTCACCATCAAAGTCAATGCTGCCATCTTTATTAAGGTCAATGTCACCGAGGATCTCCTCCAGCTCGCCCTTCTTCAGCTTCTCCCCGAGCAGGTTCTTCATGGCCTCCTTTAACTCGTCTGATGTGATCTTTCCATCCCCATTACAGTCAAACTATTGAGAGAAAACATGGAACGAGTAGTAGTAGTAGTAGTAGTAGTAGTAGTAGTAGTATTAGTGGTTGTTGTCGTCATAGTAGTAGTAGTCATAGTGGTAATAGTAGTAGTTGTATTATTAGTATTAGTAGTAGTAGTAGTCATAGTATTAGTATTAGTAATAGTAGTAGTAGTAGTAATAGTAGAACTAGTAGTAATAGTAGTAGTAGTAGTAGTAGTAGTTGTGGTCACTGTAGTAGTAGTCTAGTAGTAGTAGTAGTCGGAGTAGTAGTAGTAGTAGTTGTAATCATAGTAGTACTAGTCTAGTAGTACTACTAGTAGTAGTAGTAGTAGTAGTAGTAGTAGTAGTAGTAGTAGTAGTTGTGGTCATTGTAGTAGTAGTCTAGTAGCAGTAGTAGTGGTCGCAGTACTAGTATTAGTAATAGTAGTCGTAGTAGTAGTCTAGTAGTAGTAGTAGTCGGAGTAGTAGTAGTAGTTGTAATCATAGTATTACTAGTCTAGTAATACTACTACTAGTAGTAGTAGTAGTAGTAGTAGTAGAAGTAGTAGTAGTCGTAGTCGTAGTAGTAATAGTAGTAATCTTACTAGTCGTAGTAGTAATAGTAGTAGTAGTACTAGCAGTAGTAGTTGTTGTAGTCAGAGTAATAGTAGTAGTAGTAGTAGTAGTAGTCGTAGTAGTAGTAATCGTACTAGTCGTAGTAGTAATAGTAGTAGTAGTAGTAGTAGTAAGAGTACTAGTAGTAATGGTAGTAGTAGTCAGTTACCATGGTGACACAATGCACACATTAGCAAACACAGACTATGTGTATGAAAATGTTTTAAGATTGTTTGAAAAGTCAAGAAAAAATACAAAAAGTATATAAACAACACATTTTCAGGAGCCTGTGATCAAGCTGAGCGTTCATGGTCCAGTTCAGGTGTTTGATTTTCAACAAAAAGGTGAGAGGGACTAACGGTTAAATGTGAGAGACAAATCATGTCACCTGTTGTAGTTCCACCTGAGTCAGCTCTTTCTGGTTTCTGGTCAGATTGTGTTAAAACAAAGCTCAGATTGAGTCCAACTTGAGTAACAAACTTTCTAACAGAACAGTGCCTACAGATAGCATCAAACCCCCAGAATATTGCTGACATCAGACTGAAAGAACCAATAGAAGAATTACTTGAAACTGTCTCTATGAGTTCTGTGGTAGCCTGAAAACAGCTTGTCTGCAGATGGGCCATGCTGACTCAGGAAGTGAGATCCCGAGTGAGAAACACTGGAAGTGAGAACACTATCGGTGAGATGAGCCAAAATCTATTTACATTTGTTAGAGGAAAAAAAGCTTAATGCAATGAAGGTGAAAATAAAGGTATATACATTGGTTTATTTTAAGGTCCTATATTACGCAAAAGCAATGACGTAATGTTGTTATCTCTTCAAAAACATAATTGGAATTGTGTTTTGTTCCATTCACGTTTGAGTAATCCATTATTATTAGTCTGTCTACATCTCCAAAGCTCAAAATGCTCTGTTCTACCTTGTGATGTCATGAAGTGGTAGTTTTCAAGTCAACAGCTTCCTTTTACCTCTTGTTCAGTAGAGGTTCCAGGGCTTAAATCATTCACGTTTTCAGTGAAGGTGTATGGAGTTTAAAAACACAGTGGAGCACTTCCTGTATTACCATATGACATCACAAGGTGGAACAGAGTGTTTTCAGTTTGAGAGAAGAACTCAGCCTAAATATGCAATGGCAGTAGTTGTAGTAGTAGTAGTAGTAGTAGTAGTGGTAGTAGTACTCATAGTAGTAGCTGTAGTAGCAGTAGTAGTAGTCACCTAGTAGTAGTAGTAGTAGCAGAAGTAGTAGTAGTCATAGAAGTAGTAGTTATAGTACTCTTATAGTAGTAGCAGTAGTAGTAGTAGTAGTAGTAGTAGTAGTAGTAGTAGTTGTGTTGTAGTCATAGTTGTAGTGGTAGTAGTAATAGTCGTAGTAGGAGTAGTCGTAGTAGTGGTAGTCGTAGTAGTAGAAGTAGTAGTAGTAGCACTCACAGTAGTAGCTGTAGTAGTAGTAGTAGTAGTCACCTAGTAGTAGTAGTAGCAGAAGTAGTAGTAGTCATAGAAGTAGTAGTTATAGTACTCTTATAGTAGTAGCAGTAGTAGTAGTAGTAGTAGTAGTAGTAGTAGTTGTTGTTGTAGTCATAGTTGTAGTGGTAGTAGTAATAGTCCTAGAGTAGGACTGGTCGTAGTAGTGGTAGTCATAGTAGTCAAAACAGTAGTCGTAATCATAGTAGTCGTAGTATAAGTAGTCGTAATAATGGTCGTAGTAGTAGAAGTGGTCTTTGTAGTAGTCGTTATTGTAGCAATAGTCGTAGTAGCAGTAGTCGTAATAATGGTAGTACTAGTCGAAGTAGTCGTGTAGTAGTTGCAGTAGTAATAGTTGTAGTAGTAGAAGTAGTTGTCGTAGTAGTAGTTATATAGTAGTAGTCATAGTAGTAAGTAGTTGTAGAAGTAGTAATAGTAGCAGTAGTAGTAGTAGTAGTAGTAGTAGTAGTAGTAGTAAGTAGTAAGTAGTAGTAGTAGTAGTAGTAGTAGTAGTAGTAGTAGTAGTTGTAGTAGTAGTAGTAGTAGAGCAGAGTGTTTTGAGAGAACTCAGCCTAAATATGCAGTGTGTATCTTACTCATGTGTAAATGAAACAAAACACAACTCCGTGTCTGTTTTTCATGAGGAAACAACATTATATCATAAATCAGAAAATAGCATAACACGGGCCTTTTAATATAAGACCAAAAATACCAGACACTAAGAACATGTCTTATACAGTTTGACCCCGAAATTAAACACCATTAAGACCAAAGATATGCACGGCCACATATGCAAATAACAAAGATTGCCCTGTCATCCTACTTTAACACAAACGAACACCCACTATTACAAACACAATCATCGAATGTTTATTAAAAAGCTTGCTGAGGCTCTTAAATAAAATGTAATGAATCATCGAACTCTACGTCACACACAACAAAAGACAATTAAATCAGTACTTGGCTACCTGACTCCACTGACGTAATCCCAATAAATGTTTCTCCAGCTCCCCTGCTCTTGCCTGTCAGGATAAATTAAGTGGAGTATCGCGGGGGCTTGGGTAGGCACAACAGGCATCATTAACGTCAATATTTTCCCATTTTTATACTCTCCTCTGTGGAAAAAAAATCCCCGCTATTTTACTGTTCCCCACGGAGGGCCCCTGTGGCTTGCTTCAAAGCGCTGTCATCCATAGACCCGTGCTGAACTACTCAAACTCTTTCTTGCATTGTGTTTCACCAGGATGCTCTCACTTGTTTGAAGGCGCAGCGGAGTTCTTTCAGTCCGACCATGTGAGCGGTCTCTGCCACCATCCTCGGTCCCATTAACTCGCAGAAGTCATCAAAGTCAACATGGCCCCCCCCTGTGGAAAAATATGGAGGACACTTACTGCTGGACCAGGCCTGGCTCTGTCTCCCCCGAGAGCACGCTATACGACCTTATGAATTTATGCATAAGGCGCTAATAAAGTATGAACGCTCGTGAACTGACACACAACAGAGAGGGTAATAAGAAACATACAGACAGTTAAGAAAATGAATTAATACAGTTCTGCGGCCTGGGGAAGGACTGAAAATAGAACACCGTAACAGAATAACAAATAACATAATAGGCCAAGACTTCATATTTGAAATCCATGTTTGTGTACTGTCATTATCCAAGGCTTTCAGAAAGATGAAAACATGGAGCTGTCAAAATCGAAATCAAAATGAATAAAAGTAAAAGTAAAATTTGCAGAAAAAGTCAGAGCAACAACAAAAACAGCAGACTTAAGAATGTTAAATGTTTGTTTTTAAAGCTCCTATATCACACAAAATGGATGCTTGTGAGCTTTAGGTCGTGTTATTATGTTGTTACCTCCTCGAAAACATACCCAGCTCATGTATGGAGCACATCCTGTTTTACCACATGACATCAGAAAGTGGAACAGTGTGTGTTTACTGTTGGAGAGAAGACCTGAACACCTATGTGTGTGTAATGTGCATGTGTAAATGAAACAAAACACAACTCCAGGTATGTTTTGATGAGAAAACAACATTATAACATACACATATAACATAAAAAATAAAATAAAATAAATAAATCATCCCTTTAATTAAATATAACAGTTTAGCATATAGACTGAACTTAACACATTGGATTGTCCATAAAAGTCCATAAAGTCTAGTTTCAACATGAAGACCAACATTTCTTTGCTTTTTCCTGAGCTTATTTTGATGGTGCTGGGACCACAATTTGTTAATGACAGTAATCACTCGTACCGCCCCCAAGGTAAGGAAAGGTTTGCTCGTTATACTCCAAAAACAATTGTGTATAATATGTTTCTTTCCTTTATTCATATTATCATTTTATCGTTACATGTGTGTAGCCAGGCTGGCACCACCTAGTGCCTCTGCTCAGTTTCATTTCTCTCCAGTGACTAGGTCAGGACTCGGAATACATCAGACTATTTGCAGGAACCCCTCAAGTTGCAGACCGCGCACTGGCCAATCGGCGAAGAGCTATGAAGCCATGACTGGGTCCCTTTTTGTGGTACAGCACAACAGTAAACAAAGCGGTCCAGATGCATGTAGATGAAGCCATACGTTCTGTGATGGCAACGATTCCCGAGATCGAGGATTTAAAGCCGGAACAAAGGGAATGTTTGGTGAATTTTATTAAGGGGAAAGACGTTATTGCCCTTCTTCCTATGGGATTTGGGAAAAGCTTAATATACCAGTTAGTCTCTTTAGCAGTGCATTACATACATCATGACCAAATAGCAGCGGTTGGTGAAATAAAAAAAATACCCACCTACCTTTGAGTGAACAAATCCTAATGTGAATGAATCAGGCTAGTGTGTGTGTACATTACCCTTTAAATGTCCCCCCAAGCACACTTTACACATGTGTCTCTAATGACGCTTCCAAAAATCAGACGTAAATGTGGACAGTATGAAAGTAAGTAAAAAACAAAATAAGAATTTAAGTATGCAAGCACTTACAGTCAATCACCAGAACTTCATTAATAATATAGCTAACTTTGACGAGGTACTTCAGTGCAGTTTTATCATAAACAATGTGAACTAAACCTTGTATTTATTATTTACTTTGTTTTCATGTTATAACTTCTTCATGTCATTACTTTTCTGAACTTCTCGTATCTTTGTGAAATGCAGTATCAATTAGAAAACTTATTAAAATATCTTCATATTTACGAATTACACCAACTGTCTTAATGAACAGCCGTAGCAACAGGTTTGTACCCATCCTCTGACAGTTTTGTTTTGTATATGCTCCAGATAACATACATACATACAAAAGCTTCTTTTTTATGTTACATTTTCTCAAATAAAACTGAGATCTAGAACTTTGTATGGGGAGACTGTGTGTGTGGAGCTGTCCATGGTTCTGAATGTTGGAAGAGTTCAAATGGACAGGTTCATGGTCATGAGATTAATCAACATTCCCTGGGCGTGTGACACTAACCAAAAGCACTTCTCTGTCGACATGTAGAACACGCAGATGTCACTGCACAGTATCAATATATAAAGACACTGCCAGAAGCTGAATGAGCCTGAACTCTTCAACTCTGCACATAAGAGGCCTGTGTAACGTCATGACTACAGAAGAGTCCTGCTCTAGTTCCACTTTTGTTCAGAGCTATATGTTTTTGTTGATAATTTATATAATTTGATCTATTACAGTCTATTGAAAAACAATATCTCAACAGCAAATATTATGTTTTAAATGCAGATGCTAAATTAAGTTTGTTCTGTCTCCCAGGGTTGTTGTTGTTACCCTATCATTTTCAATTTAATCAGGAAATGATAGGGTTAGGAACCATCTGGCCCTGGTCCCAGAGGAGAGCAGCTGAGTTCCACCTCCAACTGTTTCTACTCCCTGATCTGGTGGTATTATTGTTCTTTTCTGATCATCTTAGGCTTGTCATGATAACACGTTTATAGATGATAAATGATAATATTGAAAGGGCACATATTACACTATTATCAGTTTTACCTTATAATATTGTTTCCTCATCCCTGGAATTGTGTTTTGTTTCATTCACATGTTCAAAACTCAAACCCTGAATATTTAGGCTGAGTTTTATCTCAAACTGAAAACACAAAATACAGGAAGTGCTACACTGTGTTCTTAAACTCCATTCAACTTCACTGAAATCATTTGGATAATTTCAGCCCTGTAATTCCTAATTTCTACTGAACTTTAGCTAAAAAGACAGCTGGTAACTGAAACTACCACTACATGACATCACAAGGTGGAACTTTTTGATCTTCGGAGATGTAGACACACCAATGCAGGATTACTCAAACATGTGTGAATGAAACAAACCACAACTCCAGGTCTGTTTTTGAGGAGGCAGCAGCATTATAACATGGCTTAAAGCTGAGGAGAGTCAATTCCGCGTAAAATAGAACCTTGGAACTAAATTATGCCACTGACACAAAAACCCTGTAGCAGGATTATCGCACCAAAATGTAAATGTCTGAATGTATCATTTAAAAAACATGAGCCTCAATGCATGAATAGCAGAACGAAAACACTTTAGTAGTTAGTTTGGAGCTATAATAAATCATGGAAGTTTTTCAGTGTTTCCCACAGGTTTATACAAAGACTAAAGTACAAGCGATCTATCATTTTGTTTTTAGTGTATAAATGTCACTTATTGCCTCTACTCATCGAATAAGCACTGAGTACAGACTAAAAATGGTTGCTTCTATATGTTAATGATAACATTACAAGCATAATTGTTTTACCAAGTTTTTGTTATGGAGGTGAATCTTAGACCAGTGTTTCCCAAATGTTTTTTCTGGGGACCCATATTTTAAAAGTCACAAACCTTCGTGAGCCAAGTCAATAGACATTATTTGTAATTTGTGTATTCAGAAAATAAAGGTGGATTTGACCATTATGGAACATTAATGTGGATATGTTATTAAATCAAATGTATGTAGCCCATTCATTTTTCTTTTCAACATTCAATTGAATCAGCAATATCAGAACAAAATAGTTGATAAAATAATTACAAAAAGATTAGAAATTATACAAAACATGTCTTAACATTTCAGCCTACAAGCAGATCGTGACAAGGTGACCCAAAAAAAAATCTCTTGTGACCCACCTGAGGCCACGATCCAGTCTTTGGGAAACAATGAATTAGACTGCGGAGGCCACTAAAATCTCCTCTCTAAATGGAAAGCACTGGTTATTTATTCAACTCTTTGCAGCTCAAATTTTACTGCAGTCCAGAAAAAATACAAAATATCCCATCCAACAAAAATTGTATGCATGATAAATTCTGAAGCCCACAAATACACTTTCAGCTATTATTTATTGAGCGATATTTACTGAAGTCAATATAGTAATTATCATGAGGGGAATAGTTAATCTGATAAATCTGAATCATGTACTATCCACTGTAATCCTGCATTTTACATCTTGATAGTTTCCACCACTGGGTTAAAGAGCTTGCCAGTTTCCTTCCTCAATTATCAATGAAGAGTAAAATTACCAAATTATTTCCACTATGAGCACAAATGACTGCACAGAAAGGGAGATACTAAATCTATTTCTGGCTAACAGCAGCTGTGTACACTGCTTTATAGTCAGGGAAGACTGGGTCAATATGCAAGATAATAGGCTTGTTACTATCTACATCATCTCAGATTTCTTTACAGTTATCTGTCTAATCCATAATATAGGGGAATTGGCAAGTCTCCCAACAGACATTATGCTCTGGCATCAGTCCAGTAAATCAGTGTTCCAAAAAATGTGACACAAAGATTTTAAAAGGTCGTTCATAGTCACTTAAAGCAGACCTATTATGCAAAATCGACTTTTCACAGCCTGTGACCGTGTTGTAGTTGTTTACGCTCGTAATTTACTCACCCGAAGTTGTGTTTGGAGTGATTCGTGCATTCTGAGCAATCTTTAATCGCTTATTTTCAAGACGCCATTTTGCTGATTAACCCCCGCCACCGTCACAAGCATACACCCACTGTTCCGTACTAACTTCATTATCCACATTTATTTTCTGAATCAGTGATACATGTAGGATTCTGCAGCGTTGTGTAATTTTGGAACAAATTTTTAAAAAATCTGATACTCTGATACACACTTGAGTGATATTTGTCTATTCATCTGAGGCATAGACAACTTCACAACTCTTTGTTATGATGTTTACAGCGACGTCAGCTCCTACACTGCACTTTTCTCATGCAGAAATCAACAAACATGTTTCTTTTATGGAGTCATTTTAGATGAATATTGAAATTTTAAATATCTAAATGATAACATAATGATGCACGAGTGTTGTTTTGCCCTAAATATGTTAAAAATGCATTCTATATAGTTGTTTTTGCAGTAGATTGCATTTGCTGCTGTCAGTCTTTTATTATGTAGACCTGATTAGAGACAGGAAGTTGGCCATATGTTGTTTGCTCTCAGTGGCACATGTGTTCATCCTCTGACATCTGCCTTTTTGTACGGACCTTTGACCTCACTGTCTGTAAGTTGTCGCTTTATACAGATAAGAATTATAATATCCTTGCTCTATTAGCAAAGGACAGTTATTAGAAATGTGATTTTGTTGGAGATTGTGTATTCGTATGTAATGGATTGTGTAGTTAAGCTAACTTCAGTAATATTTTGCACTGTGCAGTTTTTTCTGTTTTGCAGTTTTACTCTGTTTTTGGAACCATTTTTGTGGAGAAATAAATTGGAGCTATGGACACTAGATCCTGACTGTGCAAGTTTCAAAAAAGGGTTACACTTACTGCTAAATTATGTGAGAGACACACAAGGAGAGTGGAAAAAGTATCATAGATCATAACTATATAACAGACATAAGCACAATAGGTCCTCTTTAAAAGACATGTCCTTTTATTCTAATATAAAGTAGTAATTGATAAGTACTTAATTTGTGGATATTAAACACAACCTCAAACTTAAGCAAACATTCAAAACAAAGTAAAGGCTAAACATAGGGAGGGTGTTTTTTGTTTTTTTGTAGGTACACACTGCACCTGCTTTCCTCGGTTCATTAATCAATCTGCACCTAAACGCACAAAGACTCACTACTGCCCTAAAGAAGTGCCTCCTTCTGTCTAAACCTGTGGAGGAAGCGAACATGTAAACAAAACAATGTGTCACAACAAGCAGGGTACTATTCCTGAACCTGTTGACAGGAGTAACACCTGTCTTATGTCTTTTATTCACAAAAAACAAGCTCTGGACTGTGCATTGGAGGTTCCGTAAAATGCTTTTTGTCCAAGGAGATGTTATTGCTTTTTTCTGGAATGTTTCACAGTATGGCATTAAGTTTTCTATCTTCATGGAGACCAAACCAGACCAAGTTACAGGTCAGATCTGTGGAGAGGGGACCCCGCTCACAGTCAGAATGCCTTTTTAATAGGTATTTTTGAGCTATAAAACCACATGCAATTGAATAAATGTAAGGTAGAGCTGTTTAATGTCACACTGTGGAACATATTAGGCTGAGTAATGACATCTCTGTAGAAACAAGAAGGTGACCCCCAAACAAAAAGTTACACAATACACCTTTAAATACTTCAGTATTCAGTATTAATATTGAAACTACTTTATGCCACTGACACACAAAAAAATAAAGCAGGATAATCCCAGTGAACCAGTTTTAAAAATACAGTATCATTAAAAATCCTGAGCTGCAACAAATAAACAGTAGAAAGAATCAATAATAATTAATCCTGGATTTTCCCTTTTCATCCCTCCAGCAGATCAAATCTTATCGTATTTCATTAAAAATAGCAGCTGCCTCCTCACTCACGCTATTGCAACACAAAAATATATTGTCTTTTATCTTTTATTAGCCCTGTTATCATAATTACTACAGTATATAGACTCATTATTCAGTTTATGTTACATGGAACAATAGCTTTTTGAGGGGTCAGTATTTATCTGGAGTACTTTTTCTCTGTAGTAGTGGGAAACGTTTTGGTATTTTTCTGTACTATGATAAAATATGAGCTATAGAGGGTGGAATAAATAACTTCTATGACTCATTACAGATGTAAACTAACTACTAAAGTGATTCATTGTGCTTTTTATCTATTGTAGCTCATGATTCATGTTGGGCATAATCCTGCTCTTGGGTTATTATGTCAGTGGTATAATTTAGTTTCAGAATTATTATTTATCGTCTACGCTTACTTCAGCAATATACAGTATGTCATTTTAAAATTTCATATCGTGACAGACCTAGCTTTCATACACTACCAGTCAAAAGTTTTTGAACACCACACTTTTTCCAGTTTTTCACTCTTTACTGTTTACCAAAAGGTATTCTAAACTTTTGATTCATGAAAGAAGGCACCTTTGGCAGATATAACAGCCGAACACACTTTTTCCAGTAGAAATCAAATATTCTTCTTTTGCAGAAGTTCCCATAAATGTGTGGCACTGGTAGGTTGCTTGGCTTTCACTCTTCTGTCCTGTTCATCCCAAACCAGCTCGATGGGGTTTAAGTCTGGAGACACTGCTGGTCACTCCATGTTTTCAAGTTTGCCATCTTGTTCTATTTTCCTGAAGTAGTTTTGGCAGAGCTTGGACTTGTGTTGGATAATCTTTTATCTTTTTTTTTTTAACCTCTGGCTGTTCAGTTCTTAAATTTGTACCATTTCAAGCCGGTGTCGGCGGCAAGGGGGGAGCATTTGAGGCCCCCCCTAGCGGCCACTGGTGCCCCACCCCCCAGCACAGGCCGTTATTATTACTATTTTAAAATGATTTTGATTGGCGCATTTCACTTCGGGCTGAGGGCACAAACTTTACTGTGACATCAATGACATCAAAGTCTCTGTTTATTTAGTGTAGTGTGATTGGACAACTGTCCTGTCACTCACGTCACGTCACGTCAACCTGCTGCGTCAACTCGTAGCAGCTCCACGATTTGCGGCAGCTGCTACTTTAGCCTAAAGCTCCACACAGGAAATGGCGAGAACAGAGTCAAAGACACTGACAGACCCGCCGCCGGGACCCGGGACTGTCGCCGCCCAGACTCGGGACAGTCGCCGCTGGGACCCGGAACAGTCCCCGCCGGAACCCGAGACAGTCGCTGCCGGGACTGGGGCAGTCGCCACCGGACCGGGGCTCTCGCTGGTGCCGCCGGGGCCAGGGCAGTCGCTCTCTGCTCTACCCGCCTTTGCCCGCTCGTTTCTGGGTGTAAAAGTTTGACCTGAGCATAGCGCGCAGAGGCATAATTCTACCTGGTGTCCTGGTGCTGATATGGACTGACCGTAACTTTCAGATTTAAGTGGGAAGTGGGATTAAGACTAATTTTACAACCGCTCGTGCACTCGGCTCCCGGACCTCGCGTCACGGACCAGACTGGACCAGGATTTGGACCAGTTTGATCTCTTCATATTGGACAACAGACTTTTGGAAACAGAACCAATGGGACAGTGGATAAAGGAAACATTCTGCTTCAGTCAGCAGATCTGAACTTGGAATAAATGAGCTCGCGGGTGCGATGGAGCTGCTCTGGTTGTTCTGTCGTGTGCTGTAGGAGCGGCATCTGTGTTCATGTCTCTTGTAGTTTTACTGACGTTGTTGGGTCTGGGTATGAGCGGCGTGTTACGTTGTGTTGTTGCTTAAAATTTGCCCTTGGCTGTTCATTGTGCTCTGATCGATATTGTTCAGCCACTAGTAACCAAAATGTCTGTTTCTGGTATTTGTTATAATACTACAGCCTATATATATAATACTTATATTATTCATAATATATTTATAATTTTGGCCTTAGTGCCCCTCCCAAAAATTATACCCCCAGCCGCCACTGGTCCTGTTTTAGTCCTGGTTTAGTCCTGGTTTAGTCCTGTTTTAGTCCTGGTTTAGTCCTGTTTTAGTCCTGGTTTAGTCCCGGTCCCTCAAGTCTCAGGTCTGGACAGGACTGGACGGCGCACCCTCGCGTACCACGTTCACTGCAGCCCTGGTGCTGTCCGATGCGTGACTATTTCTAGTTCAGGGGTGTTTTTGACGAGAGGCTGTTGTTTAATGTTTACAACCAGTGGCAGGACTTATTGTTTTTTAATAAACCTCAACCTTTTATAATTGTCTTGTGTGCGTATCGTCTACCACACAGCCTCAACAACTATTGCAGCTAATAATAATAATTTTAATATAATAATGATAATATTAACAACACATAATTAGCCTAATACTGTTAAAGAAAAACGTGTTTGATAGCATGTCTGCTGTGTATGACTCCACCGTGTTAAAATATTTCTCAAATGGCAGTGCCCCCCAGTAGATGTGCTCTGACGCCGACTCTGTTTCAAGCTCTTTATTGGACTTGCACGACTTGAATTGCAATAAATAACTGGACAATTTTTGCCTGATTCATCAGCCGGTTTCACTTCGTAGAAACCGTCTGACCTTGCAGCACTAGAATTCATTCGCTCGACATTAGACGGGTACTTTTTTTATTTAACCAATCACTGCTATTTGGTCGTGACATATGTAATGCACTGCTAACGGGGCTAACTGGTATATTAAGCTTTTCCCAAATCCCGTAGGAAGAAGGGCAATAACGTCTTTCCCCTCGATAAAATTCACCAAATAATCTCTTTGTTCCGGCTCTAAATCCTTGATCTTGGGAATCGTCACCAACACAGAATGTATGGCACTTCGCTGATTGTCTGATGCCCGGACTCGCACTTCCAGGGTTTTCTAGTGCAGGGGTCTCCAACCTGTAGCTCGGGAGCACCCAGTAGCTCTCCACCCCCTTCCAAGCAGCTCACCAAGGGATTTCAGAATTATATGTACTACTGAATATCTAAAATTGTATTGCCATTGTAAATGTATAATTTTGATGCCTAACTAAATAAATAAAAGGATAATGGTTTGTGGTTTATAGGGATTTAACTGTACTCCATCTAAGGCTTGTCATGCAGCTTAAATGTTCTAAATTTCTTGTGAACACTCAAATGATTAGCTTTCTGGCATTTTTGTTTGGTAAAAGTAGCTCACTGGAGGAAAAAGGTTATATTAATTAGTATTCATATTGACAAACCAAAAATACTCACATCTCATCTTGATTTGTTGGATGATCTCAATGAGCTCCATCTCTGTTGGCATGTAGCCCATCGTCCTCATGCAGTCTGCTATGTCCTTGTAGTGTATGTAGCCATCTGCGTCATAGTCAAACTCCTTAAAAGCTTCCTGCAGCTCTGTTTAACACAAGTGACAGTGCAAGTTTCTCCTCAGAAAAATGGTGACATTATTATTTGTTCTGAGCACTTTCATTTCTCTGAAAGTTTGGAGTGCGCCGTAATGGATTTTGTAACTTCCAAGAAAGTGCACATATTAATAATGGACAAAATGTCTGTTGCCTCTAAACAAAATAAGCAATAATGTGATTGTATTTTTAATAAGGGAAATACTAGTCATTTATGAAGCTTTGTTACAGACTAGCAATTTATCAACGTCAAAGTTATTACTACTTGCCTGGGCAGCCAAAACCACATGCTTTTACAACTCTAAAGGGTTTTGTAACTTCTGAGAGAGTGCATATATTAATACTGGTTAAAAAGTTTGTTGCCTCTAAACAAAATAAGCAATAATGTGATTCTGTTTCTAATGAGGAAAATACTAGTCATTTATGAAGCTGTGCAGCTGACTAGTCATTTATCATGCGCTTGAATTTATTACTGCTTGCCTGGGCAGCCAAAACAACATGCTTTTACAAAACAGCACAATTTAAACAGAGTGGGAGGAATTGCTGTAGCACTAATAGGGATGTAATATCTCAATCTCACTGTATGATATTTATTGTGATATTATGGAGAAGCTAAAAGAAAGAAACGTATTCTAAACATTTGATTCATGACAGTGTCCACCTTTGGCAGATATAACAGCTGAACACTCTCGTGGCTCATTCTTTTTACAATAGAAGTCAAATATTCTTCAGAATGTTCTTCCCAAGTTTGTTGCAGAAGTTCCCATAAATGTGTGGCACTTGTAGGTTGCTTGGCTTTCACTCTTCTTTCCAGTTCATCCCAAAACCAGCTCGATGGGGTTTAAGTCTGGAGACTGTGCTCCATGTTTTCAAACTTACCATCTTATTATTTTTTCCTGAGGTAGTTTTGGCAGACCTTGGACTTGTGTTTTGTTTTCTTTTATCTTTTTTTTTAAACCTCTGGCTGGTCAGCATTTACCTTTTGTACCATTTCAAGCTATTTATTGGACTTGAATTATAATAAATAACTGGAAAAATTAGGGTGTTCTAAAAGCTTTTACCAGTGGTGTACATCGATATAATTCAGGCATTAAGGGGCTTGAATAACTTGAAAAGACTTCAGTGTGAATCATTACTGTCATAATCCAAATTATTAGGATTTAAAAGTGCTTAATAACAGCTATTGTATCATGTAGTCTGCATTGAAATGAAGCAATGTTATTTTCTGATCCATGTTATAATGTTGTTTGAAATCACTATTCCAACTTGTGATGCAATGTTAAAAACACTCCACTCTGTTTTTAAAGTTCATACACCTCCCCTAGAATCATTTGGATGATTTCAGCTCTAGAGTTTCCAGTCAGTAAAATAAAGAAAATGAAAATGCCATCTTCATGACATCACAAGGTGGAAGCTGTGGAGATGTAAACAAAACACATCTCCAGGTATGTTTTTAAGGTGGAAACAGCATTATAACATAGCTTGAAATGCGCATGTCAATTTTGCGGACTATAGGACCTTGTAATTCGACGGATTGTGACTGACCACGATATTATTGTCAGAGTTATTGTTGCATCTCTATTCTCTTACCATCCAGCTCTTCTGGCATGAGCTCTCTCTCCTGTGTCGCAAAGGAAAAAAGAGAAGAACAAAGAATAATTACGAGGCAGCGTGAGGACTGAAATCAGGACGCCTTAAATGTGGCTAACTCTCTGGAGGATACCTCAGCAATAATCTTTTTTTGACCACCAAATTAGAATAACACGCGTATCATGTCTACACCGGCACATACTGACAGTGCACTCTAATGGGATTTCACCCGCCAACATGTCTTTCTAATTTGCAGAATGAGACAGTACTGCCTTCTCCTGGGGGGATCGGGCACGGAGCCAAGTTATTTGAGATAGACCCCTATACAGACTGCACATGACAGCGAGCAGCGCAGACCCATACAATATGCATTTACCTAACACAAATTTGCATGCAGCCCAGTAGCTCTACCTTGTTTTGACATTTGCTCTGGGTGATGCTGTCGACTTCTCTGCTCTCACTTTTGCTCGCGCTTTCAGGGATGTTTGAGCCGGGAGCATGAGACCAAATCAGCAGCCGCAGGTTTAGAGAGCGAAATACAGGTTGGTGTCCACAGATAACCTTGAATTTACCTTCAAGGGCCAATTTTATGATGTTTTCTGACCTGCTGTAATGTCGTTTCCTCATCAAAAACATGCCAAGAGTTGTGGGAGATGACGACAGAGAAATAATCCAGGATTACTCGAATACATGTGAATGAAATCTACAAGTACAGCACCACCAAGTCATATACAGGTAAACCTCCATCGACTCATATGCAGGTACACCTCCACCTCCACCGAGTCATCTACAGGTACACCTCCACCGCTACCAAGTCATATACAGGTACATCTCCACCGAGTCATACACAGGTACACATACACTGAGTCGTATACAGTTACACCTCCACCGAGTCATATACAGTTACACCTCCACCGCTACAGAGTCATATACAGGTACACCTCCACCTCCACCGAGTCATCTACAGGTACACCTCCACCATTACAGAGTCGTATACAGGTAAACCTCCACCGACTCATATGCAGGTACACCTCCACCGTCACTGAGTCATATAGAGGTACACCTCTACCGAGTCATATAGAGGTACACCTCTACCGAGTCATATAGAGGTACACCTCTACCGAGTCATATAGAGGTACACCTCTACCGAGTCATATAGAGGTACACCTCTACCGAGTCATATAGAGGTACACCTCTACCGAGTCATATAGAGGTACACCTCTACCGAGTCATATAGAGGTACTCCTCCACCGAGTCATATACAGGTACTCCTCCACCGAGTCATACACAGGTACACATACACCAAGTCGTGTACAGGTACACCTCCACTGCCACCAAGTCATATACAGGTACATCTCCACCAAGTCATATACAGGTACATCTCCACCAAGTCATATACAGGTACATCTCCACCAAGTCATATACAGGTACACCTCCACCGAGTCAAATAGAGAAACAACTCCACCACCACCAAGTCATCTACAGGTACACCTCCACCAAGTCATCTACAATACACCTCCACCGAGTCATCTACAGGCACATCTCCACCGAGTCATCTACAGGTACACCTCCACCAAGTCATATACAGGTACACCTCCACCGCCACTAAGTCATATACAGGTACACTTCCACCTCCACCGAGTCATATACAGGTACTTCTCCTCCACCACTGAGTCATAAATAAATAATAATGAAATCATGTTTTTGATGAGGTAACAACATTATAAAACTCTTAAAGCTCACAGAAGTCAATTTTGTTTATTATAGGAGCTTTAATCAAGCTGAATTTTTGTATTAATAATAAATAATCTGCTGCTGAATGCGTGAACTGTTCTGATTGATTGTATTTATCCTCAAGCTATTTCAGAGCATCTTAGAAAAACATTTTCAGCATTGAACTGTCAAATGCTCTGAAGAGTCGTAATAAAAACAATGTCATTATTTGTAGATAGAATTAACCAGCTAAGCTAAAACTATTTGTCAATGAGAGCAAAACACATGCACGCGTAACCCTTTAATGCCTCTGTAAACGAGCGTGCTGTTCGACATACTGGAATTAGATCAATACACAGAGACACAATGAGTCTGAAGACTAGAAACAAGCCCGACTGCCAAAAAATAAAAGATTACGTAACCATGGACTTTGAATTGAACAAAAAGCTTTTCTCTTTTATAATCTGAATGAAAAAAACTACATTTGACATATTGAACCCATTTTGCTGAGATAATCTTCCTTGCGCTAAGTGAATTAAAAGCCCTGAGTAATGCCGCTTCTTTAAGTCTGTTTTTCAAGGAAGAATCAGTGGAATAGATGCGTGGAGCAATATTTTTCCTAATATATTTCAATGCCAGAGAGGCTAATGCATAATTCATACAAGGTCAACTTGCTGAGGTCCGCACTATTTTCAGGATAAGGAGAAGCTCTCACTGTTTATTCGGATGCTGCTTGCCATGACAGATGCTTATTCACTGTACGAGTATAATACGGCCAACAAGGTTAAAACGCAGTGCAATCCTATAGACTCATACTGCTTCATTTTACTTCCCTTTTATACCGTTCGTGTCATGTTCATGAGTTTCCTTATTATTTTATCATTCAGTACCTGCTTTTATTTTTTGGTTATTTCTGTAATCCTTAAATTTAGACATGGACAAACTTTATTGATCCTCAAGGGAAATTATTTGGACACAGTCGCTCACACATGATAGTATTATAATGAAAAAAAGCAACAATAATTCTAAATAAGTAGCAAAAAGAGCAAGAAACTGGTGTCAAATAAGGCATAATGATATGTGTAAGTGTACAAGTAAGGGCGTAAATAATCATAAGGAGAAATAGTTGTATGGAGTATAAAACAAATCAAATGTGTTTTTGAGTTTTCCTACTGTCATGGTTCATGTTTTGTTTTTATTGTTTTGCATAATTTGGTGTTTTTTATTCCTTTAGTTTATGTCCTATGTAATTTGACATTTGTCCTGTCTGCTTGTGTTTTTCAATTTGATTGTCATTTATAGTGAAGAACTTTCCAAGAGCAGTCCTGCGTTTTGGGTCCTCCTTCTGTTTTAAATGTCCTATATTATGCAAAATTGTCTCTTGTAAGCTTTTGGCCATGTTATATTTTTGTTACCGCATCAAAACCCTACCTCGAATTGTGTTTTATTTCATTCACCCATTTTTGAGTAACCCTTTATCATTAGTCTGTCTACATCTCCAAAGCTCAGAATGCTCTGTTCCACTTTGTGATGTCATGTAATGGCAGTTAACAGCTACTTTTTACATTTAGTTCAGTGGAGATTGGCAATTTAGACAGTGCAAAAACACAGTGGAGCACTTGATGTATTGCCAAATATATAGTATTGAAAATAATAATAATACAGTATTGATATCATGGGCTTCTGTATCGATATATCGCCAAGGGTATTTTTAGATATATTTTACTAAATTATTTTGTGTAAGAGCTACAATTGTGTTGACATTTTCACTGTTTTGATGAGTAAAATGGGTGTTTTTCAGATTAACTTTGCACAAACTTAGTGGCCTTAGTAGACTTTTAGCATGATTTACCATGATTATCCTTTTTTCCCAAACTGTATTGAATTGATTTGAAATATATATTGTATCGAATCATATTGGCTCGAAAGTGCACTTTATCGAAAAACGTAGCGTATCCAGACCTATGTACCGAGGTATGTATCATATTGGCAGTATCGAGGTATGTATCATATCGCCAATTTCTTAGTGATACCCAACCCTAATCACAAGGTGGACATACAGTGTTTTCCCTTTGAGAGAAGAACTCAGCCTAAATATTCAGAATTTGTGAGTTAAACATGTTTGAGTGAAACAAAACACAACTCCAGGTATGTTTGTGATGAGGAAACATTACAATATTGATCAGAAAATAGCCTAATATGGCCCTTGTTAAATCCTGAACATAATAGGAGGACTGCAGCTTTCCTCATTTAAGCACCCTCAAATGGACAAGGGCATATTTAAAAGGCATATTTAGATACAAGGTCAACAAGATAATTGGATTTTTTTCATCCAGGATTAGGATAGCATGGAGCAGACTCTTTAATTCATCCCCTCCAATGTGCCTATTAACTGTTAATTTCATTCTGTCTGGTTTCGTATGGGCCATTGAGCAGCGGCCCACTGTGCTGTGATGCGTGTAGGCACATGTGAGCGCAACATGATACACACATATGAGACGGCCTTTCAGAAACAGCCTACAGTCAGATTGGATGTTAATGTTATCTTCTCTCGTTCTTATCTGTATCTGTCTGCTGTGCCTATCTGCCATGTCAGTGCATCAAATGATCTCAGCGTGGACTGGGAATCGCAGGGTTCGTTAATGATATCACAAGCCACATATCATGCATGAAATCCTAATGCCACAGTATGCCTATATTACACTTGTTAGCCTGTGTGTGATTATTTTAATCTAAAGACAAATACATTTTTATAACAATATTATTTTGGTAAACCACATGTGAATATCTATCTATCTACACAGCAAAAACTGGACTGTTAATACTGACTCTCACAGAATCAATTTTTATTATTTTCAATCTGTTCTAGAGTTGATTTAACATTTCTGGAAATGTTAATTAAGTAACACTCGACCAAAGTTCCTCTTTAACCCCGAAATCAAGAGTTAAATTAATGTTTTGAGAGTAAATGGACAACACCTTGTAGGGTTATTCTGATTTAGTTAAACAACACAAAGAGGTGTTTTATTTTTACGCTTTTTTATAGTTAATTTAAGATGAAATTCTGCACAAAACTGGTTCAAACTGGTCTTCTCTTGTGGGAGTTTTGAAGTGGTGGGTGAGAGGTGCCAAATTAACACTAAGGAAAGTTGAATTAACATGAAGAGAAGTTGAATTAACACTAGTGGAAACTGAATTAACAATAGAGGAAGTTGACTTAACACTAGTGGAAGTTGAATTAACACTAAGAGAAGTTGCATTAACCCTGAGGGAAGTTGAATTAATACTAAGGGAAGCTGAACTTCAGCCATATCAATTCTGGCAAATAACCCCAACTCAAACCCCCATTTGTCTTTCAAATAGTTAAAATAACACTTTTTTTGTGTTAAAAACAACTCTTTTTAACCCTCCAGTTTTTGCTGTGTACTTGATATCTGTAGTTGGTTGTCATTGTTGGCTGCTCTTGTTTTTTTAAATAAAAAAAAAGAGTTAACTAAGAAGTTCAGCTGCTGTTCAAAGAACAGAACTTAAGGACTATGGGACTGGATGTGAGTTGAGCAGTTTTTTTTCCTGTATTCATCCTGTATCCAGACCTTTTACCACAATGCAACAGGCTTTCTTCACCAAATATAACAGAAGCCGTTTAAGAGGAAACACTTTGGGGAATTTGGGAGTCTCATCACAGACTGAGGCTCAGAAGAGGCTTTCCTGTTGTGCCTCCAGAGCTCACCTGGCTCCCCCTGGAGGCTGCTGTGATGCTGCGGGACACAGAGAAAGCAGAGGAGGGACGTTTTTGTTCAGAGGGCTAATACTCTTCTTAAACTTCCCTTCTTAAACACCGGATCTGAAGACTCTACCTGTTGAGCACTGAGACTTTTGTTTCAGCTTTCGTATTATTACTGTATTTTACTGCTCAGTGTGCTTAAATTGCCTCTTGGAGACGAATAAAGACATTTGATTTGCACAATCTTTAGGCTGTACTATCAATCAACACAAGTATCCAAGCTAAGTTCATTCTGTGTTGGCAACAATTCCCGAGATCGAGGATTTAAAACTGGAACAAAGAGGATGTTTGGTGAATTTTATCAAGGGGAAAGACATTATTGTCCTTTTTCCTACGGGATTTGGGGCATTACATATGTGAAGAGCAAATAGCAGGGACCGTTGAGCGAATGAATCCTAATGCTGCAAGGTCAGACGGTTTCTATGAAGTGACACCGGCTGATGAATCAGGCTAAATGACATTGGCATCACACTTACTCCTTGTTATTGAACTTCAGTTTGATATTATTAGTATGACAACACCAGTATCCTGTTATGTATTTTGCAACCCTGATCCTCAACTTGCTCTATTTTTAACTGGACCAAACGGAGAATGACATTGCACCTGTTTGAAAAAGTTATTAATATACTTGTATCTATGACTCAGGGTAACAGCCAAATCACTGTGTCTCATATCCCGTGGATGTGATGTCGTCTTCTCTATCTGAGCTTTAACAACTCCAGACCTGGCACGGCTCAGTGGGAACACGGCTGATAAATGCAGAGCGGTGAGGTAAGCCATGGCAAACTGACAGAGAACATCAAGGACAGGATGAGAGGCCTGGCTCATAAACTACTTTAAATTAATCACTCTAGACCTCTGATAATTGAGATGTACAGCAGAAAAGCTCAGAAATAATGCATAAAGTGTGAGAGGTTAAGGACTACATTCATACCATGTTCTATACAACTTCAATTTTTACTTATACATTTATATAATTATGCCAGTCTCTTGTTATTTTTGCTACTTATTTTGAATTTATTACCATTTATATTTTGCTCTTTGTCATTATAATATATTGTACTGAGTCTATAATAATTTCCCAGTCTAAGTCTAAAATCCTCTTTTCTGAAATAAACGTACAGAAAGCCCCATTCCCATGTGCATTGTGAACTAAACTATCTGATGGAAGTTTAATAACCGGATGAGCTTATGCAGTGGTACTAGTCTAGCTTCATAATTGCCTTTTATCTGCTGTAATTTAAAAACACACGTAACATGATGACTGTGTTCAAGACTTGATTTTCTCAAGTGGATTATTGAATGATGTGAGATAATTTCATGTTCCAATGAACTGCACTGTGCACTGTATTGACTTTCACTGCTTCAGTTCTCTCTATTCATTAGAAATTACCAGCTTGTGAACAGGGCACGCTTGGTTTATCCCGCTTTTGTCAAAGTAGCATAACCTCTTTATAGTTTAAGGTTTTCTAGGATGATTTAAAAATTTGATTAGATTAGAATGGATTTAAAAATATTAAACTCTTTTTTTATTTTTTGACAATTTTCTGGCTCCAATGGATAGGTTTACAGAGATTTGTGTAATGCATGTACAGGAAGCATACTAAAAATATATTTTATATGCATAACACGATGGGGGTGGGAATAAATTAGTGCTAGTGCATCCCACTCCCACCTGTAGTCCCTTTTGCTTAGGGACTACAGGTGTAAATTAGCATTAATGCTGTAACCTGCACCAGCATTTTTCCTATGACTTCTGTCTTGGTTAATGTATTGTTGTGCACTCTCCCTGTACAAAAAATCATACCATTTAAAGCAAAGAGACTTTCATTTTAAGACATTTTGTATATAGGATAGATTCAAAGTCTTTCCTTTCTTGGATATGTATGACAAATGATCCTAGATTAATGCTCAAAATAAACACATCATTCATTCAATTACTGAAAGCTGTTTGTGATGTTGAACTGACCTGGCCAAAGAGTTTATTGAGGAAGGCGACGTAGGCAGCTGCCACCACGGAGCTGTTACTGAGGCTTCTCTTACCACGCCGTTGTTTTTGCCCTTCTGCATTTTTCTCCTGAGACGAGGATGGAGACTTTGTCCTGAAAAATATTAATACAAAATATCTTCATCACAGCCATAGACTGTGTGGACAGAGCTAACCAGGCTCCACTGATTCTATGAATTAACTCTATGACTCTACAATGAAAATGTGTTGCCCATGTCTCTGTGACTGCTCTACATGATCCTGGTGTTTCTATTTCACTATTTTCTCCATTAATAAATTCCTACTCCTAATATGGAGCTGGCTTCAAATTCACTCTTATAACTGCTAGCACTGTGAGCTTCATTTGACTGAAGCTGAACTCTATGGGCGACGTCACACTCCTTTATCGCTCTGTCACACCTTGATGATTTAGCCAGTGTATGCTGACATACCAGAATTTCCCTAACACGCTGGCATATGCTGAACTATTGATTTTTTTTTTGTTTTTTGGATGTATACATAGCGTATTTGTAATGAGTTGGACATATATATAACATATTAGTAACTTATATAGAAAGTTTTGATAACTTATATATAACTTGTACCAACTAATGCTTAGTGTGTTGCCAGCATCCACAGCTTATCCCCAATGACAGTCTAACTTGTGCAGAGCAAGCCTATAAAAAGGCTGATGCTCGACAATACATTATTGCACTAGATATCACAGTAGCAACATTAATCAGCATCATGCCAAAGACAACTCCTAACCATTAAATCTGGAGGAGCATTTTTATATGCCAATTCCCCTACAAGCAGCTAATACACCATTATACGGAAGCTATAAGTTAGAAACACGTTCAGTAGGTTCTGTGGTCGTCAGAACATGTCAAATACGTCTGCATACCTCAATAAATTTGACATAAGTTACACATAGATTCAAAGCACGTTACTCATAAGTTATGGGTACACTAGACATTATCTCAGTGTATTTGGACTTACGAGTAACTTACAATTAACGTGTGTGAAAGTGTTTCAATGACCGCATAACTTACCTACAACTTGTGGCCCATGTATGAAGGACGTGTAAGCAAACCCTGACATACGTCTTTCTTCAGCACGCTCAAAATGTTTCGACGACCTTCCCATATGTAGATGTATGCCAGCATGCTTCAATGTACTCATAACTTATACAAAACTTACCTATAAGTTATCTGACGCCAGGGTATTTGCTAAATTTATGAGTGACAGCAACTTTAGTCCAGTTCTTTGTACCGTTTATGATCACAGCTACTGCATTTGAGTTTTTGTATAAGAACATACACACCGTTTAATGGCATTAGATTCTTAGGTGCGTGCTGTTACTGCTGTACCCCTCCACGCAGCAGAGCGCTTGTCTTAATGATTGTTGATTAGATTGAGAGAAAGATAATAACCAGAATTTTTTGGAGAGGCTGAGCTGAAGGGCCTTGTTTTTGAATCTCCCAGCGGTGGGTGACCTGCCAGCTGCTGTGCCCCTCCCTCGTGGTGACGTGCTATGAGAGGAAAAAAAAAAAACAGATTTGTTGGTCTTGAATAAGAATGGCTCCTGCAAATCATAAAAAACTACTTTACTAAATTAAGTTTTTTGAGATAACAGCTTTTCATTCCTTAACAAATAAAAGTAAATTGTTTTAATAAAGTGTTTTATTACAAGAAAAACAACTCTTCAACCATGATGATAACTATTAACTATTTAGTAGTGGGTCCGTCACCTGTTTGACTCATGTTTTTTCAGTATGGCATTTATTTATTTAACTATCTCCAAGGAGACAAGCACACATTACCAGACCAAGTTACAGGTCAGATCTGTGGAGAAGTAGACTCACTGACAGAAGTAATGCATGTTTTTGTGGTAGTTTTGGGGAAAAAAAAAACACCTGTAATGGAAAAAATGCAAGCTATTTGTTTGATGAAATACTGTGAAACATCTCAGGCAAAGCAGATGGCGAACCCTGTTCCAGAAAAGTTACACAGTGCACTTTTAATATTACATTTTACTATATGAAAGTATTACCTTGAGACAGAATAGAACAAGATAAAATTGTGAAAACAGAGTTGGCAGCTATTCTCCGCTATCACAAAGATTTATCTGTATGTCGTAAAACTGTGGGCTGTATAAAGACAAAATGTCCCAGGTATTTGCAGCCACTGAAGTGAACTAAATCATGTATTTATTAAAGTACGGGAGCATTGTCTCACTGACCTGGTCGATGTGGAGGGTCGAATATCTGGTCCTCCTTTTGTACTTTTTACAGACATCTGAAGAAATAGTAAAATGATTATTTAAATGGCCTAGAATATGTAAAAAATTTATTCATACACGGACAGGAAACAGGTTTTGTATGAGAGAAAAATAGTTGAGGTGGTGTCTGATGAAATTTACCTGTATTACCTGTAAATATTCTATTTGAGATGTGAACAAGCCACTACCATGTAAAAGGAACCTACATGTTTAAAAAACCCAGATTCAGAACCAAGGTGATGGAGTGAAGCATTACTGTGAAAGGAGTAAATTTATGGAATAGTCTTGACAAAGATATAAAAGAATCAAGTACAAGGATTGTATTTAAAAAACACATAAAATCCAGTGAAATGTGTATGTATGAAAAAAGAAAAAAAAGTTGTGCATAATAGTGAAGATTTCTGTTTGCAATTGTTTAATCATTGTGACTGAACTGAAATGAACTGATTTGAAATGTTTTAAAGTAACTATCGGTGTTGATGTTTTGTCTGGAAAAGGGAAAAGCAGATAACATAAAATTACTCTTCTTTCTGCTCCTTGTGTGTCTTTTTGTACTTTATGAATTAAATAAATAAACAAATAATAAAATAATAATCAAACCTTTCTGTTCCTTCCTGCATGAATATGAAGAAAAATGCATTTGTCAAAGGTCCGCAATCTGCTTGTCTCCATGGAGATGTTCCATGGTATGACATTAAATATATCTAGCTTTTATTTTTTGCAAAATACAATAATTCCTTCTGTGAATAGGGGTGACTCTTCACAGATCTGAATTATAATGTAGAGTAATGCTGTAACCTGCTTGTTTCCATTGTGACAGAGGTTTAATCTATACTGTGGAACATTCTAGACCAGGGCTCATCAAACTAAGGCCTCTGAGTCAACTCCGGCCCTCCATGCCCCTTTAACCAGCCCCCTCATCTCCTCTGCCCCCCACCACTTGAACTGGCCCCATGAGGCAATCCTCAACAGTTGTCATGGCCGATTTATTGCAATTATTTTTTGGCAAATAATAACAAGTTTGCATCTTGTATTTGTATTTGTATTATATTTTGTTGATTTTTTCAGTAAAAAATATATATTTATCTGAAGTATATATATTTAAAACTTGCCGCTGAATATTCATCACCTGACAAGCTCGAGATCAAACTGTGACTGTCAACGCTGCACAGATTACTGTAGTGCAATTAAGGACAGCAAAATGACGAGTGTTAAAGTATGAAAACTTGACAGATAGTGCAGAGTTTTCAAAGAATAGGGGACGACTGATTATTTTGTAAGGACAGTGCAGTTTGTCTAATATGTAAAGAAAGTGTGGAAGTTTTCAAAGCATATAATCTGCGTCATCAGGGTCATAAAATTCTGTTATACGGGCAACTCCGATCACAGCCAGGAGCGATAATGTGGCCCTCAGAGAAAAAAGTTTGGTGACCCCTGTTCTAGACAAAGCAATAACATTTCCATGGAGACAGACAGGTGTGAGACTCTCCACTAGAAATGTCACGCAGGGCACCTTCAAAAGCAGACACACCTAACATGAAGACATGAAGTACATATGATCAACAGTTGATAAGAAAAATACTAGTTCTCATAAAAACATCAAAGGAGGAACCAACCCAAAAAAAAGCCCAAAAACGGATGACCAAACTCATGTCTAGACAGTCAGTCCATTTGAGCGTCAGATTTATGTTGTGTCACGGCGCTGTGCAGTTTGGATCATCAGTGTTTGATGATGAATGCCTCTTCCTGGTTCAATGTGCCAATGTAACAGTCCAGCTCTGCACAGCTCATAAGGAGACCCCAGAGATGTTATCCAGATCTGCTTCAGGAAGTACTGCTACGGTCATATACAGACCCTATACAAAGTAATGAGTAGAGACAGGACTGGGCAGTACTTTAAAGGTCATATATTACACTAAACTGACTCTTGTGAGCTTTAAGCCATGTTAGAATGTTGTGACCTCCTCATAAACGAACGTGGAGAATCAGTGTTGATTTATTCATTTTTTAAAATAAAACCAAAAATAAGAAAACAAAAAGACTCCAAGACCAAAATGAAAAAACAGATAATGATTAGTTTTTTTCAGTTTTCGAGCTTGTGTTTCCCATTTCCATGACAAACTGCCATGACTGACTGAACCAGGACTAAACCAGGACTGAACCGGGACTAAACCAGGACTGAACTAGGACTGATCCCAGGACTGAAGCAGGATTAAAAGAGGACAAAAACAGGACTAAATCAGGTCTAAACTAGATCTAAACCAGGACTAAACCAGAACTGAACCAGGACCAAACTGGAATTGAGACCGGGATCAAATCAGAACCCAACTGGGACTGAGACCGGGACCATAATGGGACCAGAACAGGACTTAGACCGGGCCTGAGACCGGGACCAGACCAGGACTGAGGCCCAGGACTGAGACTGGTTTAGTTCTGTTTAGACCTGGTTTAGTCCTGTTTTAGTCCTGTTTTAGTCCTGGTTCAGTCCTGGGATCAGTCCTGGTTCAGTCCTGGTTTAGACCTGGTTTAGTCCTGGTTTAGTACTGTTTTAGTCCTGGTTTGGCATCACCGTTTAAGTCAAGGAAACAGAAAACGGCCGTTATCCATTTTTTCCATTATTCACTTAAACACAAAATCAAAAACTGAAAAAACAAATCGTTATCTATTTTTTTCATTTTGGTTTTGGAGACAAATAATGAAGAAAACTGTTGATTTTTAATTTTCTTATTTTTGGTTTTATTTTGAAAAACGAATGAACGAATGATACACGGATTATTCTGGAGTTGTCTTTTGGGTTTGTGTATTAAACTTGAATGAAAATGAAACAAAACAGAACTCAAGGTATGTTTTCAATATGGATACAACATTATAACATAGATCAGAACATAGCGTAACATGAGCCTTACATTACACTGTTAAATACGGCCGTCTATGAGCAATCTCAGCTCCCAGTGGACCCGTGAATGAGCAGTGATTGCCTGTCATACTCTCACACAATCACTTTACATGTGATACGAGCTGATTGCAACATGCTTAGAGCCATCTAAGCTGTTTGGAAGAAGGAGAGCAACTTTAAATGTGATGATTAAAGCCCCTAGTTTTACTTCCACAAGAAATGGAACTGAAAGTGAAAAAATGGCCACCCGTACCGGAGGACACACATTCCATTTTCATCTCACCTACCAGTGCTATTGAACATGTAGGAACACAAGCAATCTGGACTTTTCTATTGCGGTGGTCTCACTTTGTTTGCATGAAGAATTGCACTCATCTCCGGTGAGCACAGATCTCACCAGGGTAAACAAGCCCACACACTCTCGCGCACTGTATTCTGTTTCAGTGCACAAGCCATTGAGCCGCGCGCCGTGTCTGCACCAGGCCTCCCTAAGTGACCAATTGCTGTCAATCACAAAGCAAACTCGAGCACTTTTAGATCCTAATCACACTAATTAATGTAATGAAATAGAGGGCCAGGTGGACCGGCTGAAGCAAGCAAGTGATGAGCACCACTGTTAAACTTTTAATATGAACACATAGCTGCAGTTAAGGACGCACTGATACAGCTTTTTACCGATACCGATGTCAATACTTTGCCTTTAAGTATCTGCTGATCCCCGATATCAACTTATACTAGTGCACAGACTGAATATATATAACAGAACATACAAAACCAAACAGCTTATGATAAAAGAAAATTAATTAAATATCCAAATGTGTTCTATAAATTAAGTAATTTAACATTTCGAGATGTTTTGGACCAGCATTTACTTGTAAATGGTTTTATGACACCAGTGGAAATATGAGGGATTACTTATAAATCAAATATTAATAAAATTTTTCTACTCCAAAAGAAAGTTATAAGGATAATTAATCATGCTATGCACCGACAAGGCCTCTTTTTGCCGAGTTAAAATTACTACTAAAAGTAGTTTTTTGATCTTGTTGCCCTGAGTACAGCTACAGTGATGTACAAGACCTATGCTTCCTCTTTGGAGTTATTTGCGCAGAGAGAAAGTTTAACCTTAGAGGAACTGGCATCTTCAAAAAAATAAAGAACTAAGAAAAAAAAAAGTGATTGTGTTTTTGTTCGAGGGGTTAGTATATGGAACAACCTGAGAGATGATTTTAAAAAGTCTAACACTATAGAAACCTTTAAAAAAATAGTATAAAGCATTATGTTTTGAAAGCTTTAGAGCTCTGGATTGAATGAATTATGCACTAAATTTAGTTTGTTTTATTTATATTTTGTCTCTTACATATACAGTAAGTCGCAAGAGAAAATGTAAATACAAACTTGCTGTTCATATGCTGTTTTTCTTTCTTGGAATACTGTCATTGTTTAAAAGGGTTTGACTTTATAAGTACTTTTTACTTCAGCCTAAACCTTTTCGGTCATGATCTATGTTTATGTTTTGTTTTGTTCTATAGTGCTGCAAAATGACTGAATAAACTCCTACTACTACTTTATAGACTAAAATGGGATATCGATTGAACCGTTATCTTGGAACAGATCCATGAAACTTTTCAAATTGGCTCCAATGTTTGGGACTAGTATTGTATTAATGCATCCCTACTAATAGCTAGCCAGGCTGGTGCCACCTAGTGCCTCCGCTCAATTTCATTTCTCTCCAGCAATTAGGTCAGGAATCGGAATACACTAGAATGGTTTGCAAGAACTCCAGAAGTTGTAGACCATGCACCGGCCAATCAGCAAAGAGCTGTGAAGCCATGACGTCAAACTCAAGTGCCTGTCTGTGTTCCTTTTGTGGTACAGCACAACAGTAAACAAAGTCGAGATGGATGTAGACAAAGGCATACATTCTGTGTTGGCAATGATTCCCAAGATCGAGGATTTAAAGCCAGAACAAAGAGAATGTTTGGTGAATTTTATCAAGGGGAAAGACGTTATTGCCCTTCTTCCTACGGGATTTGGCGCATTACATACGTCACGACCAAATACCAGTGACTGGTTAAATAAAAAAAGTACCTGCCTACCGTCGAGCGATCGAATCCTAAT